GTCCACTAGCACTAAACTACCTTAATTTTTATAAAATCAAGCATTTATTTATTACCACTATTGTTATCATTATTATCATTATTATTATTACTAAAATTACAAACCTTGACTTATTCGAATAATTGAGACAGAGTAAGAAATAATAAAAATCAATTATTTGCTAAAGTACAACAGCTATTAGAATGAAAAAATGTACATTTATCCTATAACCAAGTGTTACAAGAAAAAAGTGAATGGAAACTAGGTTTTATTCACTGAATAGTTAGTATATTGTGACGGTAATTACATTCTACTGGATCATCGAGCCATATAGCTTGAAAAAAAGCAGTACAAATGTGCTCTTTAGAATTCAATTGACTCGAGAAAAAAATGAAATAAATCACACAGGTAACAGTTTTTCTAAGGATTGATCAATGTGCTTGATCTAGTTGTATAGACTATAGTCTTGGTATGCATACACCAATGATAAAAATTGCTAAATTTGGCGATGGAAGAACAAAATTAGCATTTTTGATGTAGATAAGCACTGAGGATGAAGGAGGATTAATTAGCATAAAATCATAGTCTAGGATCTTCTACCGATCACTAGTGACCATAAAATGATTTGCTTATTTAGATATGAACAGAATTTGGAAAATAACCTATAAGCTAAAAAAACATGATCATAAAACAATAGTAACTGATCAATTCAAAAATGACAAATATTATCACTGTTTCCGTGTCAATTGTTGTTTTCGCTTTACTTAGGATCATAGTAATCCACTTCCTTTTCATTATGTGGAACAATCGATAGTTTAATAATTTTATACAAATAAATTCAGTAAAATGTGAATGGAAGTCACATTATCGTGGTAATAAAGAATAGAGGGTGGAAAAGTGATCACATGACTGTTAAACAATAAATGAATAATTGAACCCGGAATAAGATCACTAATTTGAGAGAAATTCCGTTTCTTTTTCACTTTTAAGCTAATACATACATAATTCTGTTTATTAAATGAAAATAATTCTGTCAAATGTGAAAATAAGATGTTGACTCTAATCACCTATTGCACAATACATATCATTGTCTATCATTCATGTTACTTGTTGCATTCTATAACGTGGAACGTTTACTGTGTAAACAGTCATGACACTCTATACTTGCTTAATGCAATAAGGAAAATGAACACTATTTTAACCCCCTCCAACTCATATCGAGTATTAGTGAGAACTTCTTTCAAGATTTACAAGAACTCAAACAGCTTAGCATAATTCTGTGTTACAGAATTATACCTATCATATGATCCAAACATAGTGTGGCAATTAAACATGTTTAAGCAACAGTAAAGAAATCAGTACTTTTTCCAGCAACTATACATTTTTCTAGTGATATTGACCAAGTAATTCATCCAAATGTATGAAATGAATAAACGGAAGAGGAAAATAAAGAATCAGGAAATTCCATTCAGTCAAAATCTTTTGGACTATGTGTCACAAATGCTGTCTTCCATGACATGTATCTATATAATCATGTAATGCCACCGTCCTATAAAACTAGAAAGTACAAGATGTAAAGTGGTCATACTGTCGTATATATATATATACAAACATTGGATAAAGAAGATAGATCGATAGTAAGCTAAAGGCTAAAAAATAATAAAATCCACACATTTTTAACATCACATTAATTGTGTATATCATCATATGACAGTACATTTGTCACGAATCATATGATTTCCTTTCAAGAAAAAATAAGTGAATAGTACCGAGTGAAGTAAAGTTTTGCGAAATTGATTAGATCAGGGAAACAAAAAATTGATTATAAAAGGAATGATAATTCGTCTCAAAAAAGAAAAAAAAAGGAAATTCGATCATTAAATCTATAAACTTTTAATTAAAAAATAAGAAACAAAGTGAGTGTGTGAACAAACGATTGATCTAATTAAGAATTCATTTGATGTTTAACAATCTAAATAATTCAGTAATTGGTTATTCGAAAGCAAAAAAATATTAAAACTTCCGATGTTCTCTATAGTACTGTGAATAAAAAACTTAAGAGAAACTAAGATGTTTCAGTATACATTATTACTCGTATATATAGTTCACTAGTTAGTCCTAAAAATACATGGAAAGCTTATTGTGGATATCACCAACTTTATGATGTCAAGTTATTAGAATCATTTCGCACTTCACAAATTCAATATAACTCTCAATTCTAACATTTCGAAAACTCTTAACATAATGGATTTCTTGTAACATCACAAACAATTTATAGATCGAAAAAGCCGACATATACCATTAATGTTTCCATGATTATAACTATTTTCAACACTTATTACAATAACACTAAAAACAAGCATCTACTCCAATAACATTATGGTGGAAACAATAAACTGTTATTCTCTACGCTTTAACACTTATCCTTGGATATTTTTATATCATCAAACTAGACAAATTCAAAGAGACGTTTGACTAGGAAATCGGCAAAACCAAAACTAATAACAAAGTCTAGTCATTTTTTTTAACTATCGATATGATATCATAGTTTATCGGTGAACACACACACACACACATACTGAAAATAAAGTACCACTAAAAGAAACAATATACGTACATATACATGTAGTAACGTATATCATGTACATATTGTACGAAGATCGATTTGAATACAGTCAAATAAAAAAATTTAAACTATTTTACTATTCAGTAATCATGTGGTGTGAGAATTGAAAGTAACTGATAATTTGGTTTGTTAATTAATTCTAAACAAAGTAAATAATCGAAAGGACGTTATCAAGAGTGTACTAACTAACAATCAAATCTCACAATATACCTTACACTTATTAATAGTTTTATTAAAATTGTATTATTCAACAGTTATGAGGATTTTAGAATTCATCAACAAGAAATATCGTCAGTTTTCAGATAGTAAATATCTTTTTACATACTTTAAATCAAATTATTTAACATCGCAGACAAATACAATACTAAAGAGTTTAATATGGTTCTTATTTAGAATTAGATCACTTCCTTATGATCACATACATGAAACTTTTCTGTAAAAAGAACATAATTATAATATAACCTAGCTAGTATCAATTTATTATTTATCCGAAACCCTATACTTGGTTTTCAGTTACAATTTGTGTGAGAAACAAAATATAGTACCCGTTTGTTTAAACAGATGTAGGGAGGGCATCAGAGTCTAAGTTCACACGAGTTCATATGATGAATTACTCTGTCAAATCATGAGTAAACCTAACAATTATTTCGCAGCTTTATGAGGTAAAATGAATTTCGGATACGCAACTGAAAAGTTACTAAACTGTTGAATTAAAATTCCATCAGTGAAGAAATATTGATGAACTCTCTTATTTTAAGTGGTGAAACAATCTACATGTTATCAGTAAATCACAAAGTTTAAGATGACATTTCTCACAGGCAAAAATTTGTTTTGTATCGCATAGTGACTGTAATTACTAGGGTAGTCATACGCTAGCTGCACTAACTAATGACAAATTTTAACCCACCTCTCGTATTTTTTAGGATTTCATTTAAAAATTCCCACAATTTGTGTATTGAACTCTAGCTTTGCATTGTTCATTGTATAACACAAAGACTAATCAGTACCAATTTATAATAGTCAACTCTAAAATACTGAAATGAATGTTTGGACCACCACGAAAACTATGTTAAAGATAATGATATATAATTTTATTCTACATAAAATAGTTGAAACAATATTATGCAATGTTTTTGACGTAATGGAACAAATATGTAATTAAAAACCTGAAATCTAGTTTTAGCTGCTAGGTTGCATGAAATTAAAAGCTCACCTGTTTCGGTGTAATTGTGAATAGCTATTGCAAATAGTGCAAATAAATAATCTACTACATACTATTCGGATGTGTACTACGGCGTAAAGCTACAGTATAGTTCCTAAAACTGTTTAATTACTGGTCATGTTATCTGTTACGATATTTGTGCAGTACAAAATACAGAACGATTAATGCAAATCAGGTCATCTTATATTGTAAATAACGAACTACTAAGTGGCACCACTAACTTGCTATGGAGACTATGAGATGGTAAATCGACAAACAATCAAACTTAACCTCATTTTATTCACATTAAATGAAACTGCTCGTTTGCTTGTACACTGATAAGTTGAAGAAATTGTAAGAAAGAGAGACTGATACAGGTTTCATATCCGATGGAAATTCACACGCTAAACTGTAATATGATAAGGATTTCACTTTATGAATCCTATCATGTCCCAATACCAACAGATCTCATAGCAATTTGTAAGTGGAAGTTCAGTGGTCTGTTTGAAAAGATAAACAAGATTCGAATACTATTCAAGTGCCTTTTTAATTCGATTATACAGACTATTAAGAGGTCACGTGAGATAATTAGTGTTGATAAGAAAAGCTGCGATTTGACACTTTTCATTCAGACTGAAATCTGAGTTTTGGACTATGGGCGAATAGCACGGTTTGAAATAGCACTTAGTGTATAAAATACTGACACATTACACACTTATCATAATACATGCTTACCAAAGTTTTAAAAAGATATAAGGATTAGACATTACCTAACAGAAAACCTTATACGAATAATAAAAATGAGTGTACAGACATTCTGTCGTTCATATTTCTGCAAAAATCCCCGATAATACATAACATTCTAATATATTTGAGTCATCCTAGTACTCAGTAACCATACGATTTAGTGCACTTCTCTTTTGCATTGTATATTTATCTCATATAAGACCGCTTGTGGGAATTCATCAAAAATATGAAATATTTAAACATAATAAACAATCGGATATCTGCATTAGCTTTGCCCTTAAGACAACTTGCCATAATATATGCACTGCCTCATAAGAAAACACAAACCAATCGGTGAAAGCTGATCAGGAAAGTCATATCAGGTTAGTAACGGCTAAGGCACAAGAGATTTTTATATTTATCAAGATAAAAACAAAGCGAATATCAAGAAAAGAATGTTGAACATACCAACACTTGAAATATCTTCTTCATTGATCACCTCACCATTAATATCGACTAATTGCCAGGCTTTCATCATGGTTAGAAGTGACAAATAATTGTTTCTGCAAAATGAGATCAATATATTTTACCTATAAGCATGATAAATTTAATTATTCGTGTTTATCAAATATAGAAACCAAAATCCAGTTAAATATGCTTGAAAAGTGTGCATCTATAACGTAAGCATAGAAAAACGGAAACAAATAGTGTTTGTGCAATAATCCAAGTTACATCAGGGCATCGACAGAAAATCAACAAAACAAAAAGTAGAAGAGTTCAATAATACCAACCGTTTAATGGTATATGCACCAGAAATATCGTTCAAAACCAAAAGTTGAAACCAAAGGATGAAACGTACGTAACGATCCAAAAGTTAAGATGAAGAGGGAGATAAATAATATATCTATCTGTATTATTACTTCTACTGGTATCAAAATTGATTTTGGACCATATAACGTAGCATTTCTAACTATATATTACAACTATTACAAAACTTCCGACGACAAAGCCTGCGTTAACAACATGACTCAGTCTATTAGTCAGTGACTATGTAGATTGGTCGCACGTGTAGATCTGGTCAACCTACTTCTATGTAGGAGAGTATTCCAAGACAAAGTGGGTGGTAAACAACCGTGCAGCTCGCATGTTACAGCTTTGGTTTGTAGTTGGTTATGGCTTCGTAGGTTAACGACAGGTTGGTTATTAATTTTTGAACGCACATTTACAAGGCACTTCCAAATAGTGAAAGTATCGAGTGACTAACCTAGGATAGAGGACTATCTTTGAGGCAGAAGACAAAACGTATGAGTAAACTAGATGTAACTGAAACGAATGCATATTCAACAAAATAATGGAATTCAAGATTGAAAAAACGATAAAGATTAAATACAGCTGCTCTATTGTGAACGATTTAGAGAAATACTTTCCCAAGTCTCTAGCAGAGATTTAATCTGACTTGAATTAATTGTTTAGGTTGTTGATGATTCGATGCTCAAAAACTAATTATAGGCCGGTTTTACAGACCAACACCTATTACCAATGCATCATACGTGGGACAAAACTGCCATGTGGTTTAGGAAGAAACGAGTGAAGATTAATCGCAAGGCATGACTTGAGAAAGACAGTATAATACAATTTAGCGGATAACTGGGTGATTCATTTGATGTAATCACTTCGCACAGCTTTCAAATATTTGGGCATAGACATAGTAGTGGTTATACAGTCTACAACGTGAAAATTTATTGATAAGTTTTCAACCACGCATCTAGTTCATATTTCATTCAAGTCGCATAGCTCATAGCTTAAGTATAACGTCCGTAGTAGGACATCTCAACGTCTTTTACAAGAAATTATTTGAACTCCAAGATGGTTTTTGTGGTGTCTCAGAATACAAAGTGATTCTGTACAATAATTAGAATTCTATGGTCTACAAACTTCGCCTTTCTCTAGAACTACTCGACTGTGAAGCAGTCGTAATGGGTCTGGAAATCATTATTGTATTAACTTAGGCTGTGCCCCATTTGTCTTTCTGAGTGGTCAACAACGGGAAATTTCTATCAAAAGAGACGTAACATCTATGACTACTGAATCATTTAGGAAGAAGATTAGATGAACATGGAGATACGAGCGGTGAGGTTCAAGACAAGCTAATAAATCTATCATCCACGTAGGAAAAGACCGAATGTGCTCTGAAGTGAACTATTGAAAGAAACAATTATTATTCACAGCGTTGTGACAAGTATTTTGTGGAATAGTTTGCAGCTTTGATTCCTTATTTATTAGAAATCCATTGATATCTTCACCAAAGAACGGCTGGCACACTCCTCAATGAGAAGATGTGCCTTACTGCCAAATAACGACCATGACGTTATATTCAGATAAAAATATTGTAGTTAGAACAAAGTTTTCTTTACAAATGGAGTTAAGTTGGAAACAACTTTAGGGAAGATGTCAAGCACCAAGACATAAAACAACATGATAAAATTTATCACCCGATTCATAAAAAACATTTCTCCGGATCAAAATAATGAGAGGGATTAAAGATGACAGAAATGCATACTTGCTATCACCAAATTTACATAATCTTATCTTACGAAACTAGGAAAAGAAAGGAACCAATGATAGCAGAAGTAATTTTATTTCTCAGCTTTTGTGCAACAATAATTGAAAACTAGGAAATGTAGGAATGAACTCACAAAGAAAGGATGTAAATAGGAGACCTTTATGACCTTGAATCAGCTGTACCAAATTCAGATACGATTGGTCAATATTTTGAAATTATGGCTGTGGTAAATTTTAGATGATACATAAAAACAAACGACAGCATAACAAAGAAATAATCATTATTGGCAATATCAAAGTAGTCGTAAGTATTTTTTATAACTTTCGCTTGGTTTCATATCATTTGGCCAAATTTAGGATTAAGTATTATTCACAAATATTAAGTCAGCAACATGATGTAGAAGCAGTATCTGTCATGCACAGACTGAATATTTACGAACAAAGAATTCCTAATTGACAAATTTTTAGTCTTGGCTGTCACGGTAAAAATGATCACTTTCAATATTATCAATGTAGCTGACTCAAAACATTCCATTAATAACTGGCGATGGAATTCCAAACGTTTGGAAATGTCAGATGTATTGGACAACTCAAAACAGGTAGTTTCAAAGCTTCACCATCAACCTGCTGTGTACGCTCACTGTGTAAATGTACACTATATATTGAACTGAAAGTCACAGAACAAATCTATCTATGACTCTCATAAGATATTCATAGGTACAGGCATCCAATTCTGTGTCGTCCGACACCAAATTAACTTTAAGATAGATTGTTTCGTGAAATCGATATAAATCGACCACACGCTTTTGTTCTTAAGACACAGCGTCGTTACTAAAAGTTGCAGTTAAGATATTTGAGTCATGTTTTAACGTTGTTTTTTAGCACTGTAACTGGGTAGATTACTTGAAAATCTGTCCCATATGTCTCTTTGAAAGTGCGATTGTTTCCTGAACTTTTACCGTGGTAGAACCTGGTAAGTGAACATAGTCCGCTTGCCAGTATACTCCATCCAACTCTGTCCTGAACAATCCTTCCCAGGTGTCTCCAGTTACTATCCATAATTTTTCATATCTGCCTACGATTCTCAACACAAAGTGTTTTTCAGCCTTCCACTTTTCCGTTTCCCTTCAGGATTCCAAGTTAGCACTTGTCATGTGATGCAGTTTGGTGATTTCCACAATGTATGTTGTTTAACCGTAGGAATGCCCCTATCGATTTATCAATCCTCACCTTTACGTCTACATCAGACTCTTCTTGTTCATCAACGACGCTGCTGAACAGGTACGTGAAACTTTCCATCACTTTCAAAGTTTCTCCATCAAACGTGATTGGGTTGGTGTTCTCTGTGTCGCATTTGAGTATCATCTTTTTTCGCTGGTGTATGTTGAAGTCTACTGCTTCAGAGACTGCTGCTATATTGTTTATCTTCAGCTGCAATTTTTTGTGCGTCTAGGAAAAAGTGATAGGCTGTCTGAGAAGACCAGATCGTTTAGTTACATCCAACCTGCCCACTGTATTCCGTGCATCCCCTCAGATATCAACAACTGAAATTGGAACCTCTTTGGATCAGACGTATCAAATTAAATCGTGTCTTTATCTACCGGCTTATTAACGGTATTTCCTACTCTTCGGTATCCACCCCTTCATACCTTATGATATCATCCCACAATCTACGCAATAAGGAGAATATTCTAGCGATTCCAAGAACCCACACAAACTTACGTCAGAATTTTTTCCTTATTCGCTACTCAACCATGTGGAACAGACTGCCAGTGAACCTCCGTTGCAGTGAAACTACAACCCGGTTCAAAAGTCTCCTTGACGATTTTCTTTCCGAAAGTGGATTATGTCACCTATTGAATATCAATGTATTCAATAATGATTTATACAAACAAGGTCCGTCATCCATTTAATTGCTTGAAAAGCAAAATAAAACCTTTAAATCTTTCCACGTTTATTTTATTTTATTTCTATTTATCTTAATATATGAAATCTGCTTATGTTCGTGTTTATCATTATTTCCGTTATTAATATCATTATTAGTTCCCTGACACATTAGATATTCTTTTTATATCTCCTTATCCTTCTGAACATATTTAACTCCTGATTGTCCTTTGAAATCAATTGTGACTTTCATAGCATCAATCTTAATTATTATTGCACAAATATTTATACTAATATCCGGTTTCACTCTGTATACTATTACATAAATCTAAATGTATTCATCCGAGTGCATTAAAGGATTTTTATTTTATTTTTCTATATTGTTGGTTTCCTTCTGAGGTTGATATTCATTACACAATTATTATTCTTATCATGGATGAAACTTTTCACTAGGTGTTCACTTCTTTTCTCTCTTCTTTCCCTCTAAATAAATATTATTCTTAAGATTACGAAGTTTGTAATTAAAACAATAACTTGTGTTACACTTAAATTAACTTCTCAGACCCGTTTTATCTTCACTATGCATATATGACTCATACATATTGATATTTTATTATCCTTTTCATTTAATTGTAACTTTCATAGCATCACTCTAAACTATTACTGCACAAACATTTATTCTAGCGTCATATCTTACTGCAATTATAAGTTATTTTTTCTTAATTATTTTTTGTTACTAATTTACCGATACACACATAGTCGTTTATTCTTGTTCTGTGTTCGTAAACACGCCTATTAAACTGTTTGCGTATTTCACGTCTCCTTTATTTCTATTCCCTTATTTTCTGCATTTCCTTCTTTAGACTCAATTCAATATTCTCAATTACACCGCTCGATTTATTATTATTAATATTCTACTATTATTGCTCAAAATTTTTTTAATGGCAAGTAGAATGCTGACATTATTGAAAATTGTGTATCATTGCATTTTTTGAAGAAACCCGAAATGGTTTCTTCACAACACTTATGTACCCATAAGATGTTTGTGAATAATAATAATAATAATAATCAGGTTAACGAGGTCAACATCAATGTCGAAAACTCACGGAACTATTTATTTTAGGGACCTAATTACAGCTACGTATACAACACAATTTGTCTCAGGTTGCATGCAGATTTTTAATATCGCCATGATATGGGACCACATAGACTGTAGTTGTTACTTGAGTTTTCGAACCAGGCTCCGAGCAGCAGTAACTCAATTGCTAAGCATTTCTGGAGCTTGGTTTTTCCACGGCCTTTCGAACTTTCACTGTAACTTGATCCAACCTATAACCACTGGCTTGAGAGAGTAGTAACGGTTCATCAAATGAATGTACTAAATAGGCTCTTCTGTAGTGGTAAAACTAGGATGTTGAAGTAGGTAGTAGTAACTGGTAACCGTCTCTAGGTCTAAGGACTGGCAGTAGAAACAATCTGGAAAGGTCCTTAAGAGATCATTTGGTCCCAAGAGACTTCAATCTTTTTAAAGACATTTGTGCTGGACATACTATATTGGAGATGAAAACTCTACAGAAGCTTGGTTTTTCAAGCTCAATGAAGATCTGGTATTATTCGAAATTGCGAAGTCGACAACTCGTTGCATTTACAAACGAAGACTTCCCAGTTGACAATCTTCCGATCCTGGCTCTATTAGAAAAAGCGATCACGCCGTCATCACTTTTAGTTTTACCAGCAAAACTGAGCTAGTAGATTCTACCGGCAACGAGCGCTAGAATTTCAAACGGTTGGATGTGTCAGCTTGACAGGACAATCTACAGTAGGTGGACTGAGACGTTCACTCTCAACTTGATGAGGACCATCATTAAGATTTTTTACTGTACACTATCTTATATGCTACAAAGCAGTCTGTTTCACTAACGGTCCCCAAAATTTACAAGCAACCTACAGTCAACAAGAATCTCACCCTTTGTTTGTGAAGCCGCAAAGTGCACTGTTAAATGGATTACAAAAGATCTGGTAACAACGGCGCATGCAGGTAGTACAAACATATAACAAACATATGTACAAAGGCGATGAGAGAAGACTGGCTTCAGTACCAGATAAAGCTTATCGATAAATTTGTTTCCAATCCGAAAAGCTTATTCCGTTATGCAGCTTCTTCTCGACAAGTCAAAACTGGATTCTCTCAACTGCTAGGTCCTAATGACCCGACCACCAACGACGTTGACACCGCGGATCTCCTGGCTGAACAATTCTCTCGGATATTCTAACAGATCCACACTAACTTTATTGATTAAAGCAACTGTATAGGGCTTACCGAAGTGAACTTGAGCGCCGGCTTGGTATACCGGAAACTCCAGCACCTAAAAAAGACACTTCTCCTACTCCGGATATGGTCCATTATGCTATACTGAGGGAAAGAGCGTCAATCCTGACAACACCGCTTACAGCGCTGTACTCAAACCCACTAAGCCGAACCAGGGAACCAGAAAATTGGAAGCTGGCTAACATCACACTAATTTTCAAAGGAGGTCGGCGCAGCGAACCCTCAAGTTTTCGACCGGTTGCACCTCTCTCTGTGACCTTAAAAATTATAGTCTCTGATATGCGGCGCTATCAACAACTACTTACTATCCACAAATTTCTTTTCACCCCAACAGTACAGTTTTAGAAAAGATCGCTCTTGTATAACCAACCTTCTTACTGCGGTGGATATACGGACAACCATCCTTGATCGCAAGGGGAAGGCTGATGACATGTAACTTGACTTCTCAGAAGCTCTCGATAGGATCAACCATATTTGTCATTGCATATTTAAAAATTCAACATTTTTAGGTCAGGGTTAACTTCACTTTATCTCAGGCTATGGAATGTCCTAGTGGGGTCCCCCAGGGTTTGGTAGTGAAACCCCTTATTTTCTTGATTTATATAAATGTTCTTCCACAACTGGTATCGTCAGACGTGTTACTTTTTGCTGATGACGTGGAACTTTGAAGAGAGATACGCAACAATGAGGATAAACTGGCACTTCGGTAAGATCTGACACAACTTCAAAGTTGGGCAGACGATGACGGACTTACCCTTAACACTTTCAAGTGTAAAGTAGCTCATCCTAGACATGTTGAAGACCGCAAGTATAACTTAGATAGCACCTCTCTAGAGGTATCTCAAGTTGAAAAAGATCTAGGAGTGCTGGTACCCCACGTTCACCACGACAAAAATGCCATCCGAGCAAATCTTGCACTGGTAACATTGAAGCGCATTTTTGGCCAGTTTGACGAAAGCGCTTTCCACATAGTCGTCAACAGTTTTATTCATGCCCATTTAGAGTACGGAATCATAGTATTACCTCCCCCATTCCAAAAGGATAAGGACACTCTGGAATGTATCCAACGATGAGCCACGAAATCATTTCAGGACTCAAATGCAAGCCTTATGAAGAGTGACTCCAATTACTGAGCATTTACCCGTTAGGGTACAGGCGTCTTAGATGTGGCGTTCTAATGGCTAACAGCATCCTAATTACGTCTGTACATCCCCATAAACACCTACATAAGCTTAGTATCAACACAAACCATAGGAGTAATGCCCAGAAGCTGGAGGCTCAATTAAGCAGTACGGACTGCACACATGCCTTCTACTCCTAAAGATTAGTCAAATGCTATAATTCGCTGCGGGCCGAGCTAGTCTACGAGACTTCGAAGGAGTCCTTTGAGAGACAACTCGACATACTTTTAAGGACTAAGGACAGTATCTTACTAAATTTACCGTTTTTTCTTTTCCATCTTTTTTGAAATAATACTTCTACCTTGCTGCCTGGAGGTATCAGTGATTCACTGCTACTAGATGCGAAAGCTCGTTAAGCGAAAGCTTCTTCTATTCCGTCCAAAACCATATGCCCTTTGACAGTCACACGGCTCACTCGGGAAAAGGAATCTAAGCATCAAAATCACCTGAGGCTACTTCGTGTAACACTTAGGAATCCTACCGACGTAGAGCATGTTTTACTAGCGAGTCACTTACTGAAACCAGATGGGAATGTAAGAATACTGCCTGACATACCGTATTCTGAGCGCAATCTCATCCGGAATATCCCCAAAGAAACTCGCGATCAGTTTTTCCGCGGGAGGAATATAATGGTGCAAGGTATACCGGAAAATACGGACCCTACTCAATCAAAGACTGACATCAGGGAATGGAAATTCATCAAACAGTCCTTGAGGCTCAAAAACATACTGACTCGGCATGTGACGAGACCAGCCAAGAAGGGTGGTGATTCTAGACCCCGTCTGATGAATATAACCTTCCCATCTTCCCATATGGCGGCTGCCACTGTGGAAGCATTTCGTGCCAACAGACGTCGACTGCCACCTGGAATCCACATGCACCCGGATAGGCCATGCGAAGCTAGGACCAAACACAAAGGCAAGTTGGAGCTGACCATTCCACTTGTGGACTGTCTAGACGATAAAAAACGTGTAAAGGACAGGGCCGACCACCTCGGCAAACCTTATATAGGTGGGCTACCTGTCCATTCACGTAAGGCTCATACAGACAAACAGGAAGAAGCTCACGCGTGGGGTCGTCCAGGGCTCAGTACTAGGACGTCTTCTCTTCTTGAACTACATAAATGATCTTCCTCAACAGGTAACGTCAGACTTTGACAAAAATGCCTTCCGAGCAAACCTTACACTGGTAACATTGAAGCGCATTTTTGGCCAGTTTGACGGAAGAACTTTCCACATAATCTTCAACATTTTATCCGTCCCCATTTAGGGTACGGAAACATAGTATTTCCCCGTCACCCCAAAAGGATAAGAACACCCTGGAGCGTATCCAATGCCGAGCCACGAAATCAGTTCGAGGACTCAAATTTAAACTTTACGAAGAGCGCCCCCATTCACTTAACCTTTACCCATTAGAGTATAGACGTCTTAGAGGTGACCTTCTGATGGCTTATGGTATCCTTAACGCTTCTGAATATCCTCTCAAACACCTACTTAAGCTTAGTTCCAACACTAACCTAAGAGGTAACACCCAAAAACTGGAGACACAACATAGCAGAACGGACTGTAGACACAACTTCTAGTCCTTAAGAGTTGTGAAATGCTGGAATTCTCTGCCGGCCGAGCTAGTCCAAGTGACTTCTCAGGAGTCCTTCAAGAGGCAACTTGACCTATTCTTAAGGACCAAGGACAGCATCACACTATGATTTACCAATTTCTTTTCCCCTTTTATTGTTAACATACCTAGGTTCCTGCCTGGAGGATTTGGTGATCCCCTGGTACTAGACACGGAAGCCTGTTAAGCGAAAGCTTCTTCTATTCCGTCCACAACCATCTGAACAATTTGAAACGTAACGCTACGGGGTAGTTTTTGGTTCGAGTGATGGCCACGGCATTTGAAACTGGTAGGACTGTGTATTCGTTTTATTTGATAATAACAGAATAGGAATACTCATAAATATGACCTAATGGCTAATTTGTTGCTGAGTCGTAGTAATATTCAGTCCATATTGCTATATAGTAATACATGTAACAAACCCATTAGTTTTTATATTTTATTAGCATGCTGTTTAAAGCTGTTACAAACTCTGTCGTTTAAGGAGAGCGTGATACTTTTCAAGTAGGAATTTTAGCATTCGAATGCTAAAAACTGGATAGTTTCTTACAGGGTTATTATCGTGTGAGAAATTATCCAGTTTATCTAATAATTGCCTCCAACCCCGGTAACACTTAAGTTAGTAGCCAGTTGTAAGGAACGTTGTCAAAAGCCTATAGTCTTGGAGATTACTTTAACTGAAATAAGTTCAGTCAGCGGAAATAACTGTCTTTAGTTTATTTGTTTGTATTTATTTATTTGGACACAAATATTGGTACAGGGGGCACCTAATATATATGCGCCACACATGGTTTCAGAAAAACTGCCTCAGTATTCGTATTTGGTGGTAGCATCCACTTTTCAATCAGTCAGTGACTCGAGAACGGTTAGATAGAACCGAGTTTCTACCATAGGCGAGCTTCTGTATAAGTCGAAAAATAAGGATACATAAAGTGGGAATAAAAGAGAGTGAATAGATGACGTAGTAAATAATGATGATAATAATATCGATAATAGTGTGAATCGTTTGACTGTTGATCGAAGCAAGTATATTTTCCGTAAGTATCGTCATTTCACTCCGTTTGTGTGTCGGCTGTGATACTGCCCGAGTTCCCAGACCGAAGCATGTGGTTTTCTTTAGGGGCCACACCCCGAGCCTTTAACCTAAAGGTCTAACCCACAAGGCAATGGAGCATCGTGAGGAGATGCAGTCCCATGGTAACCAGCGGCCAACAATTGGTTCATACGCCATTTGTTTCCTCAGGATACTGTAGCCCATGTGCACCATTGATTTGGGATCTGGTTTAAGTGCCGGACATTCGCTTTTCCTCCTCTCATTTTCGTAAACAACACCCCCGCCACGAGAAGGCAGTGAGTAGGACTTCCCTGGCAGAGGCTGTATACGCGTGGCCGTGTGAAAGCATTTCGAGAGGAAGGACGTGCCCACCCCACTCTCGACCATACCAGGTCGTCTGGGGGCATTTGATGAGTAATAAACAATCGAAACCAGAGGTTTAACTCAGCAAGGGAAATTAGCAGTGTCCCTTCAAATAGCGTGCTCCAAATTCATAAAAAGACACATTTCAAATATTTATAGCATCCAAGGATTTATGCAAACATACTCAGAAAAATCACTGGCTTTCCATCAAAGTTTGGAATCTGACATTTAGATTATTATCTTTCGGTCAAAAATTTTACTTTGTTTTGGTAAGATCTACTGAATAACTAGTGTAAAAAGCATGATAAGGCTTCTAATGACTATGGTAGAATTCAGCTGAATACTCGATGTTATATTCGGCGGAATACGTGGGTTTCACTTCAACAGGTTAAATATGGCTAGTGATTGTGATTTGTAATCATACACTCTATTTTCCTGTAATTACGTTTTTTGGCTCGTATTGTGGGTTGGAATAATCCTCGCTTATCTATATCTGTGAACTTATCCAAGCTCCTCACACAAATAAAAACATGGAAGTCTTGACTTTACAGCACTCGTGGAATCGCTCTCTTTAATAATATGACTTTTAATCATATCATGGAAGTCGGAAGTTTTGCTACTCTATGGGTGCCCCAAATAATTTGGACCTAACCCCTTGTTTCAAATCTATTACATACACCATAACGTATCAGAGAAGTTTTGTGGCTATCAACTAGAATCCGAATAATTTTAACCACTCGACAATAAATTAAATCTGTCATCTTACAAACTGGTTCCCATATTTCCCTTCTTAAACAGAAGCACCCATGACTTTAAGATGCTACATTATTATGCCTTAAGAATGTTATGCTGATTATAGAAAGTCGTAAGTAGTCATAATAAGCGGAAATAACTATCAGATTGTCGATCACATGAAGCTCCGGCGTCACAGCTGGGTGTTCTATCATAAAATCAAACATTTTCGTATATAATCCAATAAGAAAAGTGATACTTTCTAGGGAATGTTTTGGTCTTTTTATGTACAGAATACCGAATATGGAATAAAATGTTCCGTATTTTTTAATTGTTTGCCAGAAATGGGTGTATTACCCGAACTATCTAAGGCTGTACAAGAAATGGACTGGATTTTGCCTACCGACATTCAAAGTGAGGCTGTTCCCTTAATCCTCGGTGGAGGTGATGTTTTAATGGCTGCTGAAACCGGAAGTGGAAAAACAGGAGCATTTTGTTTACCTGTGCTTCAAATTGTATATGAAACACTTAAACTTCTCCAATCTAATAAACAGGTATGATTTAATTAAGGTCTCACTCCTCATTAGAACAAAGCTAATATCTTATCAAAGCATTCAAGCGGCCAGATGAAACTCAATGTATATGATCGTACCGATGCTATGGCAATTGATACCAATGGGTTGCTTTGTCAAAGTCGCGATCCAGGTGGATGGCACGGAGCTAGGGCAAATCGTGGTGTAAAATGTTCAGGTATTAAATGGGGTGCTTTTATAGTTACTACAATGTTTAATATTCAAGGTATTTAGTTTCAGTAAATAACCAGTTGTCCGTTCATATTTCGGAAATAAAAACCCGAATTCCTTTTCAGGTACCTCCGGAAGAACCTTTCCACGGTATGGGCAACCGGAAAGTGATAACCACCCTCATACCTCTAACAGCACTAAAGATAACTGTATTCATGATCAATCTCTTCCTTCAATTCCTATTATTCTTCCAACTTCGACTCTCGATTCTAAACTTCCTCTTTTGACTTCCTTCTCAAGTGTTACCACGGCCAGCGATTCTGGTGCGCGAAACACTCGCAGGTCTACTAGAACGGAAACACGCATACCGGATCCTAGTGTAGTCATTCACTCGAACTCACCTAACCAAAGCGGGAAGCCGACGTGACACGCCCTCCGTTTATCTGGCGACCCGATGTCTAGTTCTTGCGAATTGGCTGGTGTAGCCATAGCACTGAGTACGAGGGCAGAACAAGCACTATTAGAACGGACCCTTTTAACAGCCGCCTATTTGCTGTTCGGCTAAACGGCTCCATAAGAACTCGGAAGGATAAGGACACATATCTTTCCACAGTTTCTACCTACGCTCCCACTGACTGCAACCCGGATAAAGCGAAAGGTGACTGTTGTGAACGGGAAATTAAGAAGCCCAGACAACTACGGAGGCCATTTTCTTGGGACGTTAATTCATTTCATTCGAAACCTGTAAAACACTTATATTTATTTTTGTCCCTATCTTATTCTACATAACACGAGCTTTCGTTCTATGTATCATTCACTACCATACTCTATTTATATACTAACCAAACATACCACATCGTACCATAAAAATAGAAAACGACTTTTTGTACAATATTCAACAAGTGAACATATATCGACCAATAGGAAATGTCCATTTAAAGTCCAAGGACACCATTGGACTTAACATGATAATTATTGGTCTATTCCTCCGCATCCACAACAGTGACTTTTACAGAAAGCTTTCTGAACTTCAAAAAGCTAAACACTCAGACATAGTACTCGTAGCAGGTGACATTAATACCCAAGTAGGTAGCTTAAACCAAACAGAAAGATATTTAGGTTGGTATTTTGGTATTTCGGCTCAACGAACAGATGATTGTAACCGTCTGCTGCAACTGTGCTCAGACAATCGTTTATGTTTAGCAAACTAATTTTAAGCATAAGGAGAGACATCGTCTAACATGGTGACCGCCTGCACCAAACCAACGATGGACTCAAATAGACCATGTTGCCATCAGTCATCGTTGGAGAGGGTCGATAGAAGACTGCCTCTCATCCTAAAGCACATATTTAGACTCTGATCATGCTCTAATACGAGCACGCATTTGCTTGCTCCTCAGCGGATGCGGAAAAACTACATTAAAAAGACCCATTAGAATTAAATTGAGTTTACGAGAAAGCCAAAAGTATATTCCAGGAACAACTGAGGTCACACTTAGGCAGTTTTGAAGACGAGGCTGATCCAGGTATTGCTTGAAAAGATAGACAAACAGCTATGGAAACAGCAGCGACATCTATTAGTGATTTGAACCAAAGGGTCACGAAAAGCCAGTGGATTCCTAATAAGTCTATTGTACTGAAAGATTCTCGTAAACCCATCCCACCTGGCTCCAAGCACGATAAAGAGCAAAAACAAATCAGATCTAGGTTAATCAAAAGTCTAACGAACGATCGTGAGCAGTGCTGGGCAACAAAAGCAAAAGAGATGGTAATGGTTGTAGGTGACACTAAACGGCTTTTCAGATTAACAAAAACTGGAATTGAGAAATCAAGTATGGAATATCGGAAAAAGACAACACTTATCTGCTCTCTGCCCAGACGTTTAGAACGATGAGCGGAACTCTTTAAGGAGTAGTTCAACTGGTTTTCAGCTACTTTACAACTACCGACCACTCTTAAACAGCCTGAATGAAACATTGAAGTAGGTGTCCCGACTGTAATTAAAGTTCAAAAAGCTATAGCTAATCTGAAACGAGGAAGAGCAGATGGATGGGCTCCAGAAGTCTTTAAGGATGGCGTTTCAGTTTTGACGATTAGGTTGACCAATATTTTAGCCGAAATCTGGGAACTGAATGTAATCCCATCTTACTGGTCTCAATCACCGAGCGACCCAATATATAAAAAGGGGTCAAAACCATACTGTGATAACCATAGAGGGATTAGTTCGACTAACATAACTTCATCAAAGACCTATTACTGGAAATAACATTCTCGTGGACTGAATTTTCGGGCATTGATCTCCTACCAGAAGGTCCACTTATCGACTTAGAATACGCAGATGACATAATCCTGTTTTGTGAACATGCTGGCAAAATGCAAAATCTTTTGTTAGCACTGAGTAACAATGCCAGAATGTTCGGGATGCGTTTCCCCCCTCTAAATGCAAATTGTTGCTTCAGGACTGGCCTACCACAACACCTGAACTAAGAATAGGTTGTGAAGTAGTCGAACGCGTTGACAACTCCACCTATCTTGGAAGTCTGATCAGTCCTTATAGGTCGGTGTGTGACGAAATCTGTGCACTAATTCGAAAATCTCGTTTGGCTTTTACCAACTTACGTGACCTATGGCGAATGCGAGATATCCGTCTTTCAATTAAGGGACCAGTATACTGTTTGGCAGTTCGTTCTACTTTACAGCTGCGGATATTCGTAAATTCCTGGTATTTGATCACAGATGTCTTAGAAAGATTGCTCGCATCCGCTCGAATCACCAGGTAAGTAATAGTGAGGTTAGACGCAGAGTATTGAAGAGTGATGTTAAATCGGTTGATGAGGTTGTGAATCTTCATGGACTGAGATTTTTGGGCCACGTGTTACGTATGCACAGTGCTGAGTAGTGTTGGGGATGGTTGGAAGAAAGTTAGGGGCGGACAAACCAAATCGTGGTATTAGTCCTTGAAGTCACTGACTTCTGGTTTTAGCCATGTTGGTAGGTGCAGATTACTTGGTTGAGGTCCGCGTGACTCTCATAACCAATGGTTGGAGACTCGGGGTGACATGGCTGAGAATCGGTCACAATGGCGTAGGTGTATACACTGTTTGTCTTCACTTAAACCGTGAGATTAAAATTACTTTATACTTTCCTTCCTGTATTATATCTTTATACGCAGTCTCCGTTTTATATATTACTGCCATAGAAGTAACTACTATGAATTTGTTGTTCATCTTGTTGTGCTAATGAGATATGACAACTTGGACCTATGCATGTATGTGCCTAGTGCTACGTTATAGCTAACGGACTGACTGAGATTGCGTCACACAGTGATCTTTTCTATCATCCTTTTTGTGCCATTCTCTGTAAATAATCATGTAAATAGGAACTTTGTTTATATATATTTCATTTCCTGTATATTATTGTCTAAAACCTCAACAAGATACAATCAAGAACTCAAATCCGAAGTACGCAGCATGAAATTGTATTATCATATGTTTAAGCAAAACACAAAATATTTTACTGTGCAGTAAAAGTATTGTTTATTCACTACAATAATCCGATGAACCTATAATTTATGGACGAACCAGTCAAATTTAAAATAGCGAATCTTTAGTTTTGGCGCGGAATGCATTCATCCATATGGCTAAGTAGTATTTTGACACCATAGGTATGCCAGTTCGTGATGAAAACCATAACTCTAATTCCTAACCCTAAATTTTAACTCTAATTCCCGATTCTGATTCCTCATACTTATAACCCGTAGTATACTGGTGAATTTTCACTTTTATGTCTCTCAAAAGCCGTCGATAAATTATAGTCTCACTCATAATCTTTTCATAATTTCCTGGGTTTTTTAATATAACCTCGAATGGCACTAGATTCCCGTAATCTTATCTCATTATTCGTGATCATGTTGTTCCACCAGAATTGTCATTCAAAATTTTGAAAGTTAAACAAATTGGCTCAAAGGAACACAAATCCGGAACTTGTTGGCTAAAAAGTCTTGAAGTCAGAAGTTCAATATTAAACTCTAGATTCAAAAGCATCACATGCAATCTATTCTTCGATGTTACTAGTACTCCTTCTAGTACATCTTTTTATTGATTAACCAGTTAAAAATACCCTTATAAATTGTTTAGTCGCAATTGTCAACGCGTTCTTCACCTCTTCATATCTGTATACAAGTATACAAATATTTACTTGTCACTTCTCTGGTCAGCGAATTATTTTAATCTTACTAATTCGGCAAGATCTAAATAATCATGACCATTTATTTAACCTCCAGATCTCAGCTCAACCTCCTTATGACACTTAAAATCCCTGCGCGCTTTGTGACTAAATCCCTTTATTTTTTCAGTTTGCTAATATAAATAATTTATTTATCTAAGCATCTTATTGTGTAATATTTCAACATATAAAGGTCGTTATTATTATGAGGCGCATGTAACTGATGAAGGGCTATGTCGGGTCGGCTGGTCAACTTTGAATGCGTCACATGACGTTGGAACTGACTCTGAGAGTTTCGGCTTCGGTGGAACTGGTAAAATGTCTCATCGTCGACAGTTCGATTCGTATGGTGAGGCTTTCGGGAAAGGAGATACTATTGGCTGTTTCTTAGATCTTGATAATGGATCCATAAGTTGGTCAAAAAATGGTCAGTTCACTTGTCTACTATTTCATCATGTTTTTATACTCCAGTAACTATGCGGAATTATTGGAGTTTCTAGGTTACTTTTTAAAATTTTGGTTACCAACAAATTACCTAATATTACAGCTGTTTGATTAACGTTTACCACAAGTGTTACTATCAGGAACATTTCCCCATATTTTTTACAAAACCAATGGTATTCGAATTATTTACTGCATGATATTGTAAACCGTTCACATACTGAATTATTTACTCCCTTATTGTGTGCTTACATTTCAACGCTTGTTGTGTTTCCAAGCGTTCTGTATAGCTATTGAGGGAGTGTAAACAGTACTTTGCGATGATATTCAAAACAAGATACTATACTTGCAGCTTTAAAAAAGGAATCCTTCAACTTTCTAATATAGTTTGATAGACTTCCACCAACTATTCTATTAGTTACTTAGAGTTATTCTGAATTACAGTGTGTTTCAAAACAGCAGTAACTTGCGTTTCGTTACGGTCACACACTAACTTGTGTATCTAAACCCAATGTTTCATACTGAAATATAGAAATTGATCCAATTATCCTAGAGGGTCTTATGAGGTGTTCTAGAGATCGATGGATATGACGTTATCGTACTTAATGATGTTGCTCTTCATAGATATGATCTCTCGTTCTGAGCAACCACCTTTTAAGGGACCCTTTATTTCCATTTAGAACAACGGGACAGTATCTCTTGTTTCCAACTAGTCACCACACCTCGAAGTTAGTCGAATAGTTCTTCATAAGTTTAGTAAATTGCATTAAATTAGCGTCTTCCACCCATCTGAAACACTTTTGTAGGTGATTACGCAATGTACTTAACACTACGTGCTACAAATTCGGTGACAATATACTTAACAGTCGATCTAAACTAATTGTTTCCCATTTCAATAAATACTCATTCTTCAGCATTCTACTTTACGTTTTAGGGATTGAATTACATTATTTATCTTCAACAAATAACTTAATTCAGTTACAGGAAATTACGATTTTACGTAATAGATGTTCAGAAATATTCTTCATAGTTTTTAACAATTTGTAGTACGTTAAATTACTAGCTCATACTTTTTATTCCTTTCGAACGAATAGGTCATTGTTATCTGTTTGAAATTAATACCTATTCCATTTCATATTCATTTGTTTTCTTTTGTAAATTTCAATAACGACATATCGTTCCTATGGAAACCTCTAACACTTCTCTTACAGTTATTTTTACTGTAAAAAGAATTGGTTGAATCTCTGTGAGTGTGAAGATACCTCTAAATATGCATCAAGAAAAACTTATAATTATCAATTCAATTTACTTAATATGATTATTAATCCTTAGAATACGTATACCGATAACGTTTCTGTGCAGCTTAAAATAAAGTTCAGAAACTAATTTCATAAATTTTATATAGACTATTTCAGGTTCGTAATCAGATACTTTTACCCTAGAACCGAGGTAATTCTTGTAGGTCGTGCTAACCAAGTACTATTTAAATTATTTAGTTTCCTTCAGTCATGAACCCTGATTAGCTCACAATTTTGCAATGATCATTCAATGTAAATATATTTGTAGATTAAATAAAAATCCAATATTATCAGTTACAATTTCTCTCAGCTTATTTTACCACTTTTTTGTATGGATTACCGTTTCTTTTTGACCAGGTAAAATGTTTGGAAAAGCGTATGACATCCCAGCTCCATTACGTTCTAAAGGATTGTTCCCATCAGTGTGTTTAAAAATGCTGAGTTAAGATTTAATTTCGGCGATAGTGCATTTGATTTCCCACCACCAAATGGTTGGATAGGTATCAGTTCTTGTCCAGAAACAAACTATGTTGAAAATACTTTTAAAGGCAAGTCTTTCACGGTTCATTTTTACTGTCTTTACTTACTCCATGGTTTTTCACAGGTATTTTGGTGTGAAATGAGTGGGTCGAATTATTGAAACATTTAAAAATCAAAACATATCTGATACTGAGGTCAAGAAGGATTTATCTAAAAGTATAATAAAATAGCTCAATCTATTACTAGTTATCATATAAAGCTTATTCGCACTACTTTTCTGACTGTAGTCCCCACCTAGAAGCTTTGCTTGCGTTTGTTAGCTGGAACATATGTTTTTTGAGGTTGCTTCATATAGATCAGGTCCCTTGGAGAACGGTAGGATCGATAATAACAAACCCAAGTTCCGAAATAGCAGTGTCAGTAAAGTGTCTTTCATAAATAACAAATATATGTCTTCCACATCCGAAAAATAACTCAGAAAAGGTCAGTCCTCAAACTAGTGACTTTCTTCTTGTCCCCCTAACTGTAGCTCATGAAATTAGGGATGCTTTTGATAGAAGGCTTTTTGGTCCCCCATAGAAAACACTAAGCTCTTATACTCAGTAAGTTTAGCGTATGATTTAAACACTTTAGAAGGTAGATCAACGCAAGCTGAAAGGTATTTCGACCAAACCTTGCTCGTCCTTGTCCAGCTAATAGACAATGGCTATCTCCTTTTGTAACTGTGCTGAACCAACCGTTTATTCCTTGTAAGCAATCAGCCTTAAGAATAAAAAAGGGATAATTCATGTAGAAACTCACAACACCAACTGAACAATGAACACAAGTAGACTGTTACTATCAGCCATCTATAAAAAGGTTCGATTCAAGAATCTCTTATTCTGGAGCACGTGTTTTTACTTTTATTGTCTTAATCTCCAACCTCTTTCCAATACGCCAGATTTCGAAAAAACAAAGGAAGCCCATTGATTCATTAAAAAAAGCAATGAAGACGTTTCAGAGAAAATTTTCTTTTCGATGATATCATTTACTAAAGCTGTACAATCGTATTCATGGGTAAATTTTCTAACATGTAATAGTCTATCGTAAAATAGAGGAGTGTCACAAAATTACCAAAAATAGTCAACCTTATTCAAATATCGTCAAATTTACTCAATTTTGCTTCTTAACATCTTAGTCATCTGCCGAATAAAAGAAGCAGAACTTCTATTTTAGCTTTCGTGGGTTTAACGTACTTTAAATCTTTGGACTTATAGTGTTAACTTAATGACCAGTTTTAACATTTACTGATAAGTAATACAAATGTTCTTATTATTGAAAATATTTTTATTTTCAGCTACTTCATCTGGTTCAGTCTATAAGTCTAAACCAAATGCTCCACTTGCTTTAATTATTGAAGTAAGTTATTTTCAATGTTCTCAGAAAATTTATTTGATCTATTTTACAGCTCTTCCCCTGATCGTAATTAACTCACTGGTCCTCATTTCTGTGTGAATCAATGGTTGAATATTTAAGTATTTAGTATATTTTATTTTCATTTCATTTCTTCTAAATGCACATCTTACTGTTTATATTAAACGGAAAATAATTTTCCCTTTGTTTTTTAACCATCTCTAGTAATGTCTTGTACCACGTTAGGAGCCGGGTTTTTTGTAATGCTATCGAGAAAATTGCAACGCACCGATAAATTCTAACTCCAGACAACTATTTTCCATACCATTGGGTCACACCGTGAACTGATTATCTCTTCGTTTCTTCCAGCTAGTTCCAGTACCAAGAAACAGTGCTTGGTATGGAAATCGCTTAAACTTCTTGTGTCAAACATTTCAAAGTCGTTAATTTAGGGGAGCTTTACAAATTAAATAGAGATCGGAGAAACAACTTGCTTGATGAATAAATACTTCACAAGTGTCACTCTTCAGCGGATAAATCTGACGAACAGTCGTTTGCAACAGTTTAAAAGTATCTGTCAGAAAATACGACGATCATTTGTATGACATACATGTAGCATGTCTAACCATCTGACTAAGAGTGGAAACATAATTTATGCATCCATGGTCCGATTAAAATATTACATAGTCTCAGTTTCATCTATGTATTTTAATCGATTTATCCACTTCTGTGATCAGAATATTGATTCCATTCATGAAAAAATCAAAACTATATTCAAGCATTATTTATCTAATCATTCCTGAATAGATCGTCACAACAATATCATATATTACTCAGACCTGCATTGACCACTTTTTCCAAATAAAAATGAACTCCATTAGCATTTAAGAGGCTCCTCACGTACATCAACTATTCCACCATTTTCAATCATTGATTTCTCACGCACTTTTGTGATACAATTCGTATCATATGTATCAGTGACGTATGTCATAGTAAAAGAAAACAATTTTTCTCATACTCAAGAGTAACATCATTTTGTTGTTTTCGAATCTATAGAAGCTTCACAGATTTCCCTTCACAATAGTTTGTAGGATACCGTGCATAAACACGTTTGAGAAGAAATGACAAAGTTAATCAATATACATGGTTATAAAGGCTCTTGGGAGTAATAAAACCAACTTCATAATCAGAGTTTTGCTTTTCCATGTGAAATATTCCCGAATTGTTCAATCTATCCTATATATGTTTTAATACCTTTCGACAATTTTTGGATCCATTCACTGTTTAACTTTCAACTGTCCACTATATTGATCAGTTCTTGTAATCCTTTTTTCCGGGTTATTGTTGATAGCAGATACAATGTTTTTCGTAAATAACCTACAGATGAAATATTTGAATTTTTTTCTCTACTGGACTTGTTTTGTAAATTACTTATGTTATCCCTACAGCCTTCTCGTGAACTAGCAGAACAAACTTATGAACAAATTAAAAAATTTAAACGTTATTTAAAAGATCCATGTCCTCGTGAGTGCTTGTTAATTGGTGGTGCCAACAGTAAACAACAAATGGATGAATTACATTCTGGGGTAAGTTCTTGATCATTAAAAGTTTGTCAATGATTACCAATAAATATATGATAAAAATTAGATCTATGTATGTAATATTAAGTTTATCCTTAGTACAAGTAAACTTTATCGAACATAATTGTACACGGGAGTTATTTTATTTTACTCATGTGAGTTACTCAAACGTTTCCTGATAAATTTATCTCTAAACAAATCTAACTTGTACTACAACCAGAAAAATGGTTTGATAAACTAATACTGCAGTAACTCAGGTAATGAGCCTAAAAATTTACCCACGGAAACTAGCTGACAAACTTCACTGAATATATATTTAAGAATAGACTGTTGCCTAATGGATTTATACAATGTGAACTGTTATTTTTGTACAAAACATGCAATCAAAATAATGACTGAGTATTATTATTATTATTATTATTATTATTATTATTATTATTATCATTATCATTATTTTAACACAGATATTGGTACAAGAAGGCACCAAATACATATGCGCCACACAAATCTTATTCGATATGTGTGAGGGTTGTGATACTGCCCGGGTGCCTGAGTAGAGATGACTAATTAAGAATGAAAAGTGGTCACAATTTAATCCCTCACTCCTTTCCATTTGTAAAAACTTTACTATGTTTTTATTTTATCAACGCCTATCGACTTTTTTGTTTTCTTTTATTCGTTTAAGCTAATCAAGTTAATATACGTACTTTCTATCCTACTGTTATCAATAATTTTCTAACGTTTCATCTCAGGTTGATATTGTTGTGGCTACTCCCGGACGATTGGATGATCTTATTTCAACACAGTCTCTTCTGTTAAGTAATTGTCGTTTCTTTGTCTTGGATGAATGTGATGGTCTTCTGTCTGCCGGCTATGGAGATATGGTTTCTCGAATACACAAACAAATACCTAAGGCTACTGCTGATGGAAATCGTTTACAAATGATTGTTTGTTCGGCGACTCTTCATTCCATGGATGTTAAACGATTAGCTGTAAGTCAAGCTCTCTAGTTCCGTGAAGGTGACTTGTTAACTTATCGAGAATCTCCCTATTCTTCATGCCTGTATCTTAGATATTACTTCTTCCTAACATTCTATGGGAACAGTTATGTGGTAATTTTTGTTCGACCGTTTGTACAATATTTTACAAGGGAATTTTAACTACTCATAAGTAGTTTGAATTTAAGTCGTTCGTCAAAATTTCAGCTAATTGGTCTTTTCAGAAATTATTTTTTAAAGCTACTTTCAAAGGCTTGGTATTTCATAGTTTCCTTCGTAATCTTTGATTGGAAAATTTTAGTGATCGGAAGGAATTAAACATAACTTTTATTCATTAATTCGTTGTCAGTTTTATACATAAGCGTATTATTTTACTACAGAAAAAAGCCCGTTTATCTGGCTAGTAGTCTTTTTCTTGGTCTAATCCCATCTGAGGGCTTGGATCAATAAGTTGGTATCGTCGGCAGCCATTACTCAACCACATCGTATCATGGCATTCCATTTATCGATCAATGCTTCATCCATTCACTTAACAATCATTAAACACTCTCCATTGAAAATGAAATCCTCCCCACGTCATAAGCTTCGAAAGATCTGTTCTCATGTTTGGTAGGAACACGAAGCATTTTGGTGCTCAACTTCCTTACTCTGGAACAAGAAGTGTACATATATCGTGTGGTGGAGAACTAAAACTCCGGAGATTTATGTTAAATTCTGGCTTTAGCCCATTGTCTCTGAGATTTTATTTCACTGATAAATCCTCATCTACTAGCTTTTATATATCACTTAATTTCATATGAAAAATAATTTGTGTAACTATTTGGATACGTACATACTCATTCCAAGGTTAAGCTATATTCAAAACCTTTTCTCTATCTCATTTTAACTAATAACTGCCCAGTTGTTATTGTAAATTAATAACCAAACACATATTTATGTATTTGGCGTTCAGTTAAACTTTCTTTGATTCACCCAAGTATGTAAATTGAGAGACCATAACTGCACCGCAGAATTTGAAAGTTGAATACTTTAATCACTGCATTGTTAATGTGTCTATCTACTTGAGTCATAAATAGACTGTAAAAATGTGGCGGGATTTTAGACAATTAAAATAGTCTTGAAAAAATACTGAGATTTTTATTATTGACTTATTTTGTGTTCACTCTTGTTCCTTGGTAATCAGATTAAGTTGTCCTCTCGCAATTGAAGAAAACTCTTACTTCAAGTGTTAATTTCTATTCTTTATTACCTCACATTTTGTTTGAACTTTAGAATAAATTGATGCATTTTCCTGTATGGATAGATTTAAAAGGTCAGGATAGTGTCCCAGAAACGGTACATCATGTGGTAAGTTTACACTACTTATTTCAAGTAATATTGAATCATGATATATTTTTATGATTATTTTATTTATTTCAGTGAATAATTCCAATCGTAACTAATATTTTCGTCCCAAAACGAATCACATTGCATTTTAGTTGTTTTCTAAAACAATCACATTATCTTGATGTATGTTATTTTACAGTATATTGCTAATCAATTATCTTACAGAACCACTGATAGTATAATTACATCAAGTGAACAGTTGAATATTTTGATAATACAAGCAGTTTTTGTAATTCCCAACTTTATCGACTGATAAGCATAGATGACTCCTTGCTTCACGTTATCACAAAGTTAACTATTGTGTGGAGGCATTCCGGTTACCAATAAAATTGACTGAGCAAAAAATCTATTGTATATAAATATATCTCCAATATCTTTGAAGATAAAATCAAAAATAGAATGTTGAAACATCGGTAGACCGGCAAGATGAAACCCTTTTTTGACCGCGACAAAATCGATGGATCACTTAACCATATGTCTGACTCTAATGTAACTGAAATGCTGAACTAACTTATGCGATCCCGAATCCGACAACACGAAGTAAAAACCAAACACTGGTGGCAAGGATTTGTTTAACTCCAGAAATAAATCAAAACTATATGTGGATACATCACGTTTTATGTGATTTATTTACATTCAGATTTGTGTATTTTGAACTGAGAAGTATTTCACATCAATTGATCAATAAATTACTGTGTGCACAAACATTTATAATATCGTACAGCTAAAGGTCTGTAACTAGCAAATATAAAAAATTGACTAAGTCATATTATTACTCGCGTGTTTTTATCAGGGGACCATGTAAAAGTATTAACGAGTTGGAAGTAGCAGATGCATCTTGTAACTGTTGGAACCGCTTTAAGACTCATCCGAGACACTGGTAGCAAGACGTTTCGTGTGTATGAAACAATCAGTGAAGCTAATGGGAAGCGAAACAATATCACCTACTGACGTCTTACACGATAAGTAATTTTTCGACAACCAATCCAGCTGGTCTGCTGTCCCGGCGACAGCAATTCGATCGTCCTTCCCTCCATGGTCCGTGACGACTTATCCACCTAACGAGGTAAAAGTCCGCAAGGAACTCCAAATCTTGAAGAACCGTAAATCACCAGGTCCAGATGACTTGCCTTTAGCTTTTTTAGAAATGGTGGCGAACTTCTGGCTAAGGGACTAACTGAGTTGTTTACCAATATCTGACAATTAGAGTGTCCAAACATGGTGTGATGAGTCGATAGTTGCCTCTACTCTTTAAAATGGTCCACGTCACCTACGAAAAAAACGAGCGAGGAATAAGTTTGCTTCCGATTCCCGACCGTTGATGCTACCTTGACGTGGTGGTTAGGCTTGCCTATCTTGATGAAGCAACCGAGCTATACTGGCTGGAACAACCGTTCCTCAAGGTCCTACCATGTCAGACAGGTCGGTTGAAGAGCGGTAAGACTAAAAGCAACAAACCCAAGGTCCGAAGGCGAAGTCGTACTGCTGACTGTACAGAGGTGTGACACCAGTAAGGTGTTCCCTTCAGACAACCAGCATGACAGCGATGCTGCCTTCCCACAAGGAGGGGTGGGGTTAGAAAAGGTCGACCCTGAAAATGCACACCTCGCCTTATCCCACGGATATCCGTCTCCGGCGGTAAGGTCTCAACAAGTACGGAGCTAACACGAAAATTACTCACAAAAAGGTCGTGTGTGACCGACTTCAAGCAGTTGTCCATTGGGCACTGCACTGCATTCACGCTCTCAGGTCACGAAGACAACCTGTAATCCAATTTCCTTTCCAGGTACCTCCGGAAGAACCCTTCCACGGTGTGGGCAACCGAGAAGTGATAATCGTCCTCATACCTTTAACAGCAGTCAAGACCACTGTATTCATAATCAACATCCCTCTTCAATTCCTCCTCACGTGTCACCATAGCCAACGATCCTAGTACGCAAAACACTATCCCAGGTCTATTGAAACCTCGTTACAAACTACACATTTGAGCCTTCAACATACGCACACTATGTCATATCGATCAGCAGGCTTCCTTGGTTAAAACCCTAGAATCTTGTACCATTGATGTATGCTGTGTCTCTGAAACATGCATACAGGATCCCAGTGTAGTCATTCACTTGACCTCACCTCGGCAAAACGGAGAGCCGACGAGACACACCATCCGTTTATCTGGCGACCCGATGGCCAGTTCGAAAAGTTTGTATATCTGGGTAGCTGCATAAGTGCTGGTGGTGGCGTCGGTGATGAGATCAGTTCATGTATAATGAAAGCCAGAGCGGGTTATGCCGATCTGGGTCATCTTTGGTGTTTTCGCGATGTTAGTCTGATTGTAAAAGGTCGTATCTACAACGCGTTGGTGATAGCAGTCATGCTCTATGCTCGTGAAACCTGGCCTCTCCGTGTTGAGAGTGTTGGACGACTCTTTGTGTTTGGTCATCGTTGTGTCTAGGATTGCTGAAATCCAGTGGCAACACCACTTTAGTCATGCGGAGTTTTGGCAACGTGTACTCGGATACGGTGGTGATAATTCAATTTTCGCCACCATCTTGAAACGTAGACCTTAGTGATTTGAATATGTATTACGAATTTCGTCTCAGTGGACCCCACATCGTGCATTGCCGACTCGAGAACTGGTTAGGAAAAGCAGAAAGGTGGTCAGTGTATGACATGTCTTGGTTTAAAAGAAAATCCCTACACTCATTACCTATTAATTATAAAACTTCATTGAAATCCTGAACCGATTTAAGTTAGCCCACCATTCAAAACCTAAAAACTGTAAACAGCTGTCTTGTCCTAGTGTGTGACTGCACATTCGGGACCTAGGGTCTCTCGCTTGAGCTTTCAACCTGTAGACTACTGAGACCGGTATCTGTTCATTTAAATTTCATTATGTACTTTTATCAACAGTTCTATACTTTTCTATTATTTATCTATACTATGATTGTACTTTTCAAATGTTTCTAAAATATTGTTGTGATATCGGTAGAATTTCATTCATTGAATCAATAAAAGTAAATACTCCACAAAATAACATCGAATCACCTTTTTTATTCTTTTTTTTCATGTTATTGTCAGCCTCATACAACTAGACGAAAGTTTGTCAGATGTACTTATCAGCATGAATAACAGCAGTCTATTCATTAATAGAATATCATTTGATTGTTTGATATAAGGTCAGAAGTAGTTAGATGTAACAAATTATTCATCGTGAATAACCGATATTCAATGATAAATAAACTTTAGTTTCATTTCACAATTTATATCGAATATTTAGTTCTTCGGGTTAGGTATACATATATTACGTACACAAACATTAATTTGTATTCGAACTCCAATTTCACACAATTCATTAAAATATTCTTCATGTGTTTATGATAAACGAAGCGTATGTCTATTCAAATATTATTGTAGATTCCTGGTTAATTCATACAATTACCTAAACAATCTTTTTCTCTTATTCGATAACATTCTTTGAAAAAGTAACATTTCATTTCATCTTAAATAAATGTTAATTCTTTACATTCAGGTGTGCCTTATTGATCCCAACAATGATACATCGTGGAAAGAATTAATGAAATCAAATAAACATATACAAACAGATGGGGTCCACATGAAAGATCAACTTAATCCTAATTCGAGTACTCCAGGTGAATATTATGTAAAAAAGCAGGTTGTATGTTTTTTTCTCTTATTTTAAAAATGACAGTAAAGTATTAATGTCTTTTTACCAGTTAAATTAACTGTACAATGAGGGATAGATAAGTTGGTTTGGGCACCCGAGCAAATCAAATGAGATTTGTGTGGCGCATATGTATTTGGTGCCTTCTTGTACCAATATCTATGTGTTCAAATAATAATAATAATAATAATAATAATAATAATAATAATAATAATAATAATGGGTTAAGGATTAATAATTAAGAGTCAAATGCTTTAATCACTAAATCATTACTTTTCATCAATAACAATTGTAATGTTTTCTAGCTCATGATATATCGATCATGTAGATGAAACTGCACTCAGTTTTGTTACCCATTTAGTACATATCTTATATATCTGTTTTAAATTTCTTTGTCAACTTTTTAATCTTTGCAAGTAAAGTAAAATAGTATTCATATTGATTATGTTTTCTTGATTTAGAGCTTTTGTCAGAAGCCGTAAAATTACTAAAAGGTGAGTATGTCATTCGTGCAATTAAACAGCAAAATATGGATCGTGCACTTATTTTCTGTCGTACAAAATTGGACTGTGATAATCTGGAACAGTATTTTATATCAATGGGTGGTGGTGAGTCAATTAAATACCTTTATTTTCTCAAAAACATCAAGCTAGTGTGTTCGGTTTACTAATTAACTTTAACGAAATGCAATATTGAGCGCTAAAATGTTACGCAAAATTTACATATCATCCCACAATGTTGAAGAATTTTAATTGCTTGCTCTTGGTCAGTAGTCGGAGTCAATCAATAGGTTGTTTTTGACTTAAGTGTTTAATGCTACTTGGTGCTTGTTAGTACGGCGTATCTACAATCTCAAGGTGACTGGTGTACTCGGTCAGATTCAAACATACATGCAGTGTCACATTTAAAGACGTTACCACAAAGCTATTTCGGTTGTGGTTGTCCTCTCGTGGTAAGTTACGAATTTTAATCACTTGTCTAAGAAACTTCACATCACAGTACACTTTGATACTACGTGACTGGCGAAAATTGTTATGAATACGTTATTGAAATATTTCCCGAATATACAATTCTATTATCAACCAATCGTAAATAGTTGTTATATCACTATCAATGTTTTACTTGATAGTTTCAAACGAATTGAGCATTATTTCACTGGTTGAAATCACGAGTCAATTGAAGCTAGACCACCATGGAAAACCTGGAAGCACTGGACGGCCGTTTCGTCCCAGTATGGGACTCCTCAGCAGCGCGCATCCACGATCTCGCCATCCGCGAGATTCGAACCCAGGACCTATCAGTCTCGCTCCAGGCGCTTAACCAACGAGACCACTGAGCCGGCATCCAACGGTGTTAACCCATTCTGAAATTGAGCATTAGTTTGATTATTTATTATAATAAAATGATATATTTGCAATATCTCAATTAGTAGAAATTTGATTTTCTACTCATTATTTTCATTATTAGATATTCATAATAATTAAATTATAATTAACCTGTCTACCTGTACATATTTCGTAATAAGTGGATCCTCCTTATTCACCATCCATTCCAATTCGTATGTATACAAACTAAGTGAATACAACTTATCCTCACTAGTTATCTCTTCTCTTCATGGAAAATTATGTAATATTTTATACATTAGAAATTTGAATCAGCTTACGTAATCTTAATCAAAGTGGATTAAAATAAATTATTTATCTTGTCTGATATCTAGTTAAATGATCTGTGAATTTTAATACTCTAAATAATCGCAATTCATTCCGCATTATTATGTTATGTTTCACAAATTTCTTTTCGAAACTTTCAATATATATATATATATATATATATATATATATATATATATATCGAGTGTATTTTCGACTTGGATCGTCGTGTTTTAGAGTTAATAGGTTTTCAATTGTATCAGTTTTGATGTAAAGTGATTCCGACATAACAAATAGCGACGACCAGTCATGATATAAAGCCTACAGTATGAATAGTAATCAAGGATCCTATTTATTTATTTATTTGAACACATAAATATTGGTACAAGAGAGCGCCAATATATATGCGCCACACAAAACAATGAGAATTTGAAGAGAAAGAAGAAAAAAAAAGATAAGGAGCGTGAAAAAAAAACAATAACGAAGGAGTTGGTGTAAGGTAGCGTAGTAATAATCATAGTCATAATGGGGGAACGGAAAGTACAATCAGAACATATCTTTCAGTTTAGGAAGAAACAACCACTTTTATGAAGAAAGTAAAAGAAGGTTACAGCAGGATCGCCACTGGCTTCTATTCTGAGCCATATCTGATAACGTCTCTGGCCACTGTGTTGCACCATCTCTCGGACCCCAACTAGAGAGTCGCGAAGGACCGACAGAAGCCAGTCCTTTGCAGCTTTCTTTCATACCACGACACCATGTCATATACTGACCACCTCTCCGCTTTTTCCAACCAGTCCGAGTCGGCAAATAATGCACGAGGTGGAATTATCTGGGACGACATTCACAGAACGTGTCTAAGCCACCGAAGTCGGTGTTTCAAGATGGTGACATCGATTGCATTATCATCTCTGTGCCCAAACACACGATGCCGAACCTCTGCATTACTAACATGGCGTTGCCACTGAATGTCAGCAATCCTTCGGAGAAGTACTTGGCACTTCGAAGGTCCAAAGCACATACCATACCTACGGACACTGATTGCCAACTGATTAAGTGTGGATTGCATGGCTTGGGCATTATCGCACAGTAAGACAATATCATCCGCATACTCAAGGTCGAGAAGTCTTTCTCCAGGCAACAGATCCACACCACCATTACTTACATCCATCAGAGCTGTTTCCAGAATGTCATCGATGGCAAAGTTGAAGAGGAATGGTGAGATTGGGCAACCCTGTCTAACCCCACTGCTCGAATGGAACAATGGAGAAAGGTGGTTGTATGCCCTCACTCTGCCTGAGGTGTTTGCATACAGGGCCTTTAAGATGTTGATGAACTTCTCAGGCACACCCTTCTTCAATAGACAATCCCAGAGAACAGTTCTATCCAACGAATCGAAGGCAGCCCTAATGTCAAGTAACACTACGATTGTTGGCCTTTGATAAGTATGGCGGTGTTCTAACATTTGGCGGAGGGTGAAGATATGATTAATACATCCTCGACCAGAACGAAACCCAGCCTGCTCCTCGCGAGTCAATCTTTCTCGGGTTTTGAACAACCTACGAAGTATGACGGAAGCCAATAGCTTGGACGCAATCGGAAGTAGACTTATCCCCCGATAGTTGTTACAGGAACGATATGAACCCTTTTTAAAGATAGGGACAACTATCGACTCGTTCCATGACGTTGATACACTCTCTAGTTTCCAGACCTTTGTAAACAACGTCGTCAATTCTTTAGTCAGGATCTTAAGTAGAACAGATCTTGTTTGATGGAATCAAAAGACGAAAAGATAGGAACATTTTTTAAAATATTACTTAAAGGTTATATATGATGAATTAAGAAAGTTAAAAAAATTGTTGTTGTTGATCAGATATGGTAACTAAAGATTCTGGAATGTAAAATGAATTTAGACCCGGAATACCGAAGTAAGAATTGTGAATTTCCTTTATCAGCTATAGGTTACAGAATAGAGAAAGTTATTGAACATCTAAGTTGTCTTATGTCAAGTCATTCTAAGATATCGTTGGAGAATCGTTTTGTCCACTATTAGTATGAAAATCCTTACATATTATTACATATGCAATAAGTGTAGTTAATTTCCATTAGTGTTAAAGAATCGACGATTGTAATTGATAGTTCTTTTTATTGTGAACTCCACATTATGGTATGCACTCAAATTTCACTTCATTCAAGTTCCTGTCAACTCATTTCATCGTAATCTCAGTAGTCCACAAATAAATGATCTGATTATTCCATGATATCATCTAATATTATCTAGGATAACCTTACACCAAGCTTTTCACTGCTTATCGTGTCTACTTCTAGCTCCGTTAAATAGTGACGAATGTACCGTATACTACGTGTTGTATTTTACATTTAGAATAGTACTAAATATGTAGTAATTCCATTTATCTCGATATTTCTTAATTCATTGAACTGTCGAATATGATGAGAATTATTCTCAACAAAGCTGACTGAAAAAGTATATGCATCGAAAATATCTTCGTTTTATGTGATAAGTTTACTTGACACTGACTTTTCACACTAAGTAGCTAATTGTTATCTGTTGATAATTTTTATACACCTAGGACCTAATCGTCGTGATTCACCATTTACTTGCGTTTGTCTTCATAGTGATCGAGCTCCTCCGGAACGTAAAGCAAATTTGCAAAAGTTCAAGGTATTAGTCATTATTTATTTCATCTTGGAAATTTTTGTCAATTTAATACGTTTTCTCGGTAATCGAGAGTATCTGTTAACAAATGATTTTTTCCTTTTTTTCCAGAATGGAGATGTTCATTTTCTTATATGTACAGATGTTGCTGCACGTGGTATCGATATTACTGGTCTCCCATATGGTAAGTGGATGAATAAATCACATTCATTTTCAAAACTGTTTTTTGTTAATGCTACCGTCTCATATTTGGAAGAATAGTAATTTAGTTAATGATGTAATTTGACAACGCATCAACATATCCCGTGATCTGCTGATGATATGAACTAACAGACAAGATCCCTTACTCATTTCCCTCTTATATCACAGGTAGCTACCTATCACGAATTAATTAAATCAACAAATATCGACCATTAAATACCGGCTCAGTGGTGTATAGATTAGGAGCTTGCAGCGCGACTTAATGGTTATGGGTTTGACCCTCGATAGGGTCATAGATTCGCACCTTTAATGAGTCCCATACGTGAACAAAAACTTATGCAGTACTTTCTAACTCTTAATGGTTTCCTGACTAAAGTCAGTCTATGACGTAAACAATGTAGCGGCATCAACAATTCGATCATTACTGATCCACAATATTATTTAAAAGGCCTTTTTTCTCTCTTTGATAAGGTTATTTGATCTTTAAGAGAATAAGAAAACATACTCTGATAACTTCATAGAAATTATATCTTGTCACAACGAGATTGCTATTTGTTATAAAAATCAAACAAAACTTATTTGTTTTCTTTTTTACTATGTGTGTTCAAAACTCAGCATTTTTATGATTCCGGACTTTTATTCCCATCGTTAGCTAGTTTTAGGCATTTGTCACTCTCTTTATTGTGTACTCACAGTTGCCATAATTTCTTCCCCACTTTGTTTTTTTTGTAGTAATTAATGTGACATTGCCAGATGAAAAACAAAATTACGTGCATAGAATCGGTCGTGTAGGTCGTGCTGAAAGGTGAAAAGAGAAGTGATTTCTCCAATATGTATTTGCTGATTGTTTTTATCTAGGGATATTATCATTTTATGGTGTCCCAGAAAAATTTACTCATTTTGTGTAGAGTTTCGTTTAATCTGACGCTTCTTTATCATTGAATTGTGTATGAATATGATGATTGCGTCAAATAATTTTCTCTTCACGATTTGTATTCATCGCGTTAACGATAAACCATTTTAGTGCATTATTTTATATATTCTCACTTAAGGGATCATCAGCTGTTTATAAAAATAGACGTCTTTATTGAGAATGTACAGATTGATGATGTACTATGTTTGGTAGCACACTTTTCTACATACCAAGTTATGAAAATGCTGACTACGAAAATAAGTGAAGCAAAAATGTAAACTTTAAAATTAATAGTTAACGCTTATAATGAATTGGACCGCAACTCTGGTGATCGTATGTTACGAAAGTTACTAGTCTTTGGATTATTCTCTTCGTTCTTTACTCAGCATTATTTATTTATGTGTGGCCGCCTGAGGAAACCACCTGCTTCGGTTTGGACACTCGGGCAGTATTCCGGCCCTCACATAAATCGAATGATTCATGTGGCGCATATCTATTTGGTGCCTCCTTGTACCAAAGTTTACGTGTTTGAATAAATAATATTTATTGGGATATTTCTCAAAAACTTACTGAGTATTAAATTGATTACTTACGGTATACTAGAGATTTTCATATTATGATTAAGACAACATATATAATCGGACAGTATTGTTTAATTAGACATGATAATAATAAGACATGATTCTCATCATATAGTTGATCTACATTTTCTTACTGTTTCTTATACTGAATATGTAGAGGGTTGATTTAATAATTAAACCACTGATTGCTTCAACTATTAGGTCTTAATAAATGTGAACCTCGTTTCACTTCTTAAAGGTTGATTTGTCCACTATTATTATTATCAGCCTATTGATTGGGTAGAGTCATATGTTTACTCATTCCTGTTTGATTTCATCCTTTGTATTCAGCATCACTTCATTTTGGATGATGACATAAAATTAAAGCAACTGTTTCATCGATTTTCCTTCAGCATTTCCGTTTCTATTTTATGATTCCCAAACTGCATAACGTGCAGCATTAGTAAACATTTATATAAATTAACCTAATTGCATAAAATTTACCCATACAAAGTTCATTGGAGGGACCTTTGTTTGGATAATTGAGTACCAAGCTGTACAATCATATATATATATATATATATATATATATATATATATATATATATATATATATATATATATATATATATATATATATATATATATATATAATTAAGTTGACTCCACATGGTATACTTTAAAGTTGTTTCTTGAATTTCTTACTAATTATGTTGATATCCGAACAGTTGGCTAATACTAATAATACATTCAGTAGAGTCTAGGGTGAAATTAGCATAGTTCTGTCAAATATTAAGTGTTACCCAAATTATCATTTACGTAACGTATACTATATGATATTATAAATTATTCAGTTTATTTGCTATTGTTTGATGTCGATATTTTTGTTAAAAGCGTGAGATACATTTTACTAGTGTTTAAACACGCTAACTCAAATAAATTGTTTGAAACATATTAGTGTTTCCTGTTTAAATGTTAATCTATATACCTTATTGTTTCACCTAACGAACATATACAGTCAATTTGAGTATTAACTTTTTACGTAAGCAAAAGTTTCATACACAGGAAATGCTTTAGTGATTTTCCTTTCCACTGTTCATATACACTTGTCGGTGTATTTTTTATTAGTTACGAGTTTGTGCTCTCTAAAATATCTCATTCCATAAATAACAAATTGTGAAGGTTCTTCACTCGAACACTATCAATCGACTCAGAGCTTATGGCGAACCGTCATCTGATTCTGCAACTATAAGTGCTGTGCGGCAAGGCTGTTCACTATATCCATTTTAATTCAACTTCATCATAGATCTACTTCTGGAAATAACATTCTCGTGGACTGAATTTTCGGGCATTGATCTCCTACCAGAAGGTCCACTTATCGACTTAGAATACGCAGATGACATAATCCTGTTTTGTGAACATGCTGGCAAAATGCAAAATCTTTTGTTAGCACTGAGTAACAATGCCAGAATGTTCGGGATGCGTTTCCCCCCTCTAAATGCAAATTGTTGCTTCAGGACTGGCCTACCACAACACCTGAACTAAGAATAGGTTGTGAAGTAGTCGAACGCGTTGACAACTCCACCTATCTTGGAAGTCTGATCAGTCCTTATAGGTCGGTGTGTGACGAAATCTGTGCACTAATTCGAAAATCTCGTTTGGCTTTTACCAACTTACGTGACCTATGGCGAATGCGAGATATCCGTCTTTCAATTAAGGGACCAGTATACTGTTTGGCAGTTCGTTCTACTTTACAGCTGCGGATATTCGTAAATTCCGGTATTTGATCACAGATGTCTTAGAAAGATTGCTCGCATCCGCTCGAATCACCAGGTAAGTAATAGTGAGGTTAGACGCAGAGTATTGAAGAGTGATGTTAAATCGGTTGATGAGGTTGTGAATCTTCATGGACTGAGATTTTTGGGCCACGTGTTACGTATGCACAGTGCTGAGTAGTGTTGGGGATGGTTGGAAGAAAGTTAGGGGCGGACAAACCAAATCGTGGTATTAGTCCTTGAAGTCACTGACTTCTGGTTTTAGCCATGTTGGTAGGTGCAGATTACTTGGTTGAGGTCCGCGTGACTCTCGTAACCAATGGTTGGAGACTCGGGGTGACATGGCTGAGAATCGGTCACAATGGCGTAGGTGTATACACTGTTTGTCTTCACTTAAACCGTGAGATTAAAATTACTTTATACTTTCCTTCCTGTATTATATCTTTATACGCAGTCTCCGTTTTATATATTATGCCATAGAAGTAACTACTATGAATTTGTTGTTCATCTTGTTGTGCTAATGAGATATGACAACTTGGACCTATGCATGTATTTGCCTGGTCCTATTTTGTAGCTTACCCAGTAGTATTCATATTTTTCTTCGAAACCTGTGCTTGTTCGTAGTATTAATTTTTTTCCCATTTTTTATAACATTGAATTGGGTTATGTTTCGCAACACGGTTAGAATAGAAATTTGTGCGAAACAGGATCAAAAACGAAATTGCTCAATCGCGTCCAATGAAAATTTTTTTATTTAAGAATATGCTTTAGTACATTGATTTTTTTTCAATGTACGTCGAACTAATTACAAATCAATAACTGTTCCCTATAGAATTAATTATTCACTCTTGATACTTTAGTCCCCATAAGCAGGTTTGCTTATTGATACAGGGACTATGTATTATTCATTCTGTTGATGCTCTATTGTAATAATGAGGCATTGTTCCGTTTTGTCTCTGTAAATGAACCTGTTGTTCGTCATTACAACATTGCAAATATTATTTTTTTTAGTTTGTATTGTATAAGCTTCTGTTTAACCGTTTTTTCTAGCAAACTGATGATTATTATCTTCAATTTCCTCTTTTACTCAACCTTTATTGTTTCATAGAATGGGTCTGGCGATCAGTCTAGTGTCAACGGTCAAAGAAAAAGTAAGCACAGTAATCTATTGTACATGTTAGGCTATAGTAAAGAATCCTCTGCATAAAATTTACAGTTTTTATATAAACTCCACGTCAGTAGTGTCCAATTAGAAAGATTTATTCAGATATATTCCAACAATGTTTAATTACTGTTCATCTTATACTGCAGTTATTTTTCATATTTTAATAATTTTCCTCTCGTATCCCAAAGTGTTTAGCACCATAATAGTTTTTTGGCTTTTGACGAAAATGTGTGTGAACGTACATCTATCCATTTGCATACACATTATCACCTCGTCAAAACAGACCACACTATCTTGCTTTCTTATTAACTCTGTCAATAAGCCTATCAACTATTGACTACATTCAGATAGTAATTATAAACAGTTCAGTTAAATAAAACCATGAGATTACGTGATATTCCGATTATACATCACAGTGAATATATTTTTGTTATTATATTAACGATGAAATATGAAAAGTAGTTGAGGAATTTTTGTTTTATTAACACTTGTTTTCTACTATTATTCTTGGATGAAATAGTCAGCTTAACTTTAATCCAGATATACTTTTCTGTACCAAGTCTACAAGATAAAATGTTGAACTAAATATATTCTAGCAGTCAACAAGAGGTTCATAGCCTAGATTGCGATCTTTCCACCATTCATCAACTAATTATAGTCAGCCCCCAAATGCCCTGGTGTGGCCGAGAGTGGAATGGGCCCGCCCTTCTTGTTGAAATTGTCTCACACGGCCTCGCGTACACAGCTTCTGCCAGAGAAGTCCTACCCATTGCCTTCTCGTGGCGGAGTGTTGTTTACGAAAATGAGAGGACGAAAAGCGAATGTCCGGCGCTTTAACCGGATTCCAAACCAATGGTGCACATGGGCTCCAGTATCCTGCGGGAACGAATTTCGTATGAACCAATCTTTGGTCACCAGCCACCATGGGACTGCATCTCCTCACGATGCTCCATTTCCTTGTGGCTCGCGGTATGGCCCCCTGAGAAAACCATCTGCTTCAGTCTGGGCACCCGGGCAGTATCACAGCCCACACATATGTATGATGAAAATGATGGTATTTACTGAAAACTCTATTCTCGCTTCGATTAACAGTCAAACAATTCACATTATTATTATTATCTTTATTTACTACGTCACTTATTCACTCACTGTTATTCGCACTTTATGTATCCTTATTTTTTGACTTATACAGCAGCTCGCCTATGGTGGAAACTAGGTTCTATCTAAACGTTCTCGAGTCACTGCCTGGTTGAAAATTGAACGCTACCACCAAATAAGAATACTAAAACAGCATTTCTGAAACCACGTGCGCCATTCAAGCTGTCTGCCTTCAGCGTTCACACACTAATGCAGCTCGAACAACAGATAGGGATGGCTATGTCTTTATAAAGTCTTAATATCAATGTTTGTTATCTATCCGAGACCCGTATTCAAGACTCTGGCGAAGTACTACAAATTCGCTCTTCACCTGTCGCTTCGAAAAGCTTGTTTTACTTGCGCTTATCCGGGGACCCTGTGGCATCTTCGTCTGGTCTTGCTGGCGTTGGTGTCACACTAAGCGCTAGAGCTGAGGCAGCACTGATCGATTGGATCCCCATTAACAGTCGGTTATGTGCTGTTAGATTAGAGAGTTCCGTCAAAGTGAGAAGAAATCGGTGTGAGAAACGATGTCTTTTCGTCATCTCCGCCTATGCCCGACAGATTGCAGCCCGGATGCAATCAAGGTTGAGTTTTACCACCAGTTATCTGTTCTTCTCCAGAAAGTGCGTTCGACAGATATTGTAGTACTAACCGGAGACTTGAATGCTCAGGTCGGGCGTCTAGACACAGAAGAGAGTCGTTTAGGTGACCGATGGGGACTTGTTGGTCACAGGACAGATAACGGGGACCGCCTACTGCAACTGTGCACAGACCACAACCTGGTGTGAGTGAAACAATCTGCGAGGATGATGGGATGCCAATCACTAACATCCATCGACGTCTTGGACGATGGGCAGAATTTTTCGAAGGGCAGTTCAACTGGCCTGCTGCCCCGGCAACATCGATCAGACTGTCCTGCCCTCCATGGCCGGTGACGACTGATCCACCAAATGAGGAGGAAGTCCGCAAGGAACTCCAACTCTTGAAGCGTTACAAATCACCTGGCCCAGATGTCTTATCTCCGGCTCTTTTTGTAAAGATGGTGGTGACTTTCTGGTTAAGGGATTGACAACACTGTTTACAAAGGTCTGGAAACTAGAGAGTGTTCCAACATCATAGAATGAGTCGATAGTTGTCCCTATCTTTAAAAAGGGTTCATATCGTTCCTGTAACAACTATCGGGGGATAAGTCTACTTCCGATTGCGTCCAAGCTATTGGCTTCCGTCATACTTCGTAGGTTGTTCAAAACCCGAGAAAGATTGACTCGCGAGGAGCAGGCTGGGTTTCGTTCTGGTCGAGGATGTATTAATCATATCTTCACCCTCCGCCAAATGTTAGAACACCGCCATACTTATCAAAGGCCAACAATCGTAGTGTTACTTGACATTAGGGCTGCCTTCGATTCGTTGGATAGAACTGTTCTCTGGGATTGTCTATTGAAGAAGGGTGTGCCTGAGAAGTTCATCAACATCTTAAAGGCCCTGTATGCAAACACCTCAGGCAGAGTGAGGGCATACAACCACCTTTCTCCATTGTTCCATTCGAGCAGTGGGGTTAGACAGGGTTGCCCAATCTCACCATTCCTCTTCAACTTTGCCATCGATGACATTCTGGAAACAGCTCTGATGGATGTAAGTAATGGTGGTGTGAATCTGTTGCCTGGAGAAAGACTTCTCGACCTTGAGTATGCGGATGATATTGTCTTACTGTGCGATAATGCCCAAGCCATGCAATCCACACTTAATCAGTTGGCAATCAGTGTCCGTAGGTATGGTATGTGCTTTGGACCTTCGAAGTGCAAAGTACTTCTACAAGACTGGCAGGATTCTAATGCTGCACTCACCCTGGATGGTGAGCAGATAGAAGTGGTCGAGAAGTTCGTCTATCTAGGTAACTACATAAGTACTGGTGGTGGCGTGAGTGATGTGATCAATGCACGTATAGTGAAAGCCGGAGCAGCTTATTCCAATCTGGGCCGCCTTTGGCGCCTTCGTGATGTTAGTTTGGGTGTAAAAGGTCGGATCTACAACGCGTCGGTGAGAGCAGTTTTGCTCTATGCTTGTGAAACCTGCCTCTCCGAGTTGAAGACGTTAGATGAGTCTCTGTGTTCGGGCACAGAGACGATAATCCAATTGGTTTCACCATCTTGAAACACCGACTTCGGTGGCTTAGACATGTTCTACGAATGTCATCCCAGAGAATTCCACGTCGTGCATTATTTGCCGACGCTGAGACTGGTTGGGAAAAGGGGAGAGGTGGTCAGTATATGACATGGTGTCGTGGTATGAAAGAAAGTTGTAAAGGACTGGCTTCTGTTGGTCCTTCACGACTCCCTGGCTGCGGTCCGAGAGATGGTGCAACACAGTGGCTAGGGATGTTATCAGATATGGCTCAGAACAGAAGCCAGTGGTGATCCTGCCCTAACCTTGTTTTACTTTCTTCATAAAAAGTGGTTGTGTCTTCCTCACCTAAAGATTTCTTCCGGTTGTACCTTTCCGTTCCCCCCATTATTATTATCATTATTATTGTTATTATTATTATTATTATTATTATTATTATTATTATTATTATTATTATTATTATTATTATTATTATTATTACACTTCCTTACACTAATCTAGTCGTTATTGTTCCTCTTCTTCTTTTTTCTTTCTTTTACGCTCCTTACCTCCTTTTTTTCTCTTCCCATTCTCATTGTTTTGTGTGGCGCATATATGTTTGGTGCCCTCTTGTACAAATACTTATGTGTTCAAATAAATAAATAATTATAGTCAACCACTCCTAGTTTAATCTATTGTAATTATGTTAATGGTCCGTGTTATCAATCCTCCTGAACTATGTTTCGAATTAGATAAACATGTTTATTTGTTTAGAAAATGTGCTTTATCAATGTGCAAAACAAATTAATTTTATTTCTTGATAAATATCTTTACAAAAGGTATGGTATCACTCTAATTGTTCTACACGTGGTCGTGGCTGTTATAATACTCGTTTGTTAGATCAAGGCGGTTGTTGTACTTGGTATAACGAGCCTAATTTATTAAACGAAATTGAAGAACACTTAGGTGTGACTATCGATACGGTGGACAAAAATTTAACTATACCCGTAGATGCATTTGATGGGAAAGTTGTATATGGCCAGAAATTGAAAAAAAGTAAGCTTTGCTTATAAAAAATATTTATAATATATTGATGTTTGTAGTTAATATTATTCTTATTTTGAACTACTGTAACATATTTAATGAATTGGGAACGATTTTCACCCATCATTTGTAAAGATTTTATCTACATTGATTGAATTAGCCAACAAGAAACTGACTAACTAGGTTTACGCATGCTAATCAATGTAGTCATACCCGACCGAAAAATCTGCTGTTAAGTAAATTAAATTGATAGTCTGACTTATTGTTATTGAACTTATTCGATTATTGACTGTTAAAACAAGTTTACCTTTGAAGTATTTACAAGGTATATTCTGCTTTGCAAATTGTTGTATTATACAATATTGTTAAAACGTGGGTAAACAATTGGGCAAACATTATGCAAGAAATTACCGATCACTAATTATTACTTTGTTAAGGTTAAGTAAAAAGCTCATAACTTATTAGTTCAAATGAATTGGACAAACACACTCCTACCAACCGTTTATTGAAGACATCATTCATTCAACTTGCCTCAACATTCAATACTTTAATTGATATCTTGTCCCATTAGCTTACCTTTCAGTCTTGATCGTGTGACTAATAAAATTTGCGATAATATTGTCTTTGAATGAAATAAAAAGGATTATATTCTCTAAAAGTACGCTTTCACGTTATGTTCTTTAAGTTTCCAAAAGTTGATTTTTGTGCAATATTAACTAAAATCATCTGGAAAGCTTCCCAAAACCAGACAGATTGGGTTACCTGTTTTTGGTATAGTTTTATGACTCCTTAGTAGCATACCTCCTCAATTTCACCAGGAAGAAAATCAAGTACTTGTAAAACTTACTACAATCATAATATCGTTCAGCCATTGAACCTAGATTCATTATTGTGTTGAATTAGAAGTTGTCTTTAGTGTGGAGTTGTAAACGTGAACTGAGTTAGTTATATAAATCCTCCGTGATTTCTAGCTGTTTCCAAGCTGCCATGAAGACTGTCTTAGATTTCTACCTATTCTTCAAAGTCACGTGCATGATTAAATTGACAAACTCTAGCTAACACGAAATATATGTGGAGAATTTTTTGCCGGTTACCTTCAACTACCACCTAACATCTCAATATAGTGTATGCAATGTCAACTAACTTATATTAGTGATCACTTTCCAAACTGATCGATAGAGTTAAGTCAGAATTAAAGGACAATAAGTAAAGATGGCACTGGTCATTTACTAGTCAAGGTTCACCCAACTGTACATAGATAATTTATTTAACACTCATGATGTGTTTCCAAAAACGTTTACCCAAAATTATTAATCCCTAATGAATAAAATATAGACAATAATTCTCAATATGGGGTAGTAGACGTCAAGTATTTTTGCAAAACTGAATATTCTAGATTCGAGTCCTGTGTGCGAGATCGTGGATGCGCACTTCCCACACTAGGATGAACCGGCCGTTTAGTGCTTCCTGGTTCTCATTAGTAGCCTAATATTCTTTGTTAATTATAACAAAAAACTCTCCACATTACAATCATCATCTATCCATACCAATTTTCCACTTTGCATTTTCTTCATCTATCTCCTTATCAAAATTTACGTTTGTCTCTTTTTTGTTTGCTTTTATCTCACATAGCGGCGCCTAAATATGAAAGTCATGTGAATATTTTAGCATCCTCCGTTAAAGAACTGGATAATCTTGAAAAGCGATCACAACAAGATTTCTTGCGTTTACGATATGACGAAGAATTAGCAATATGAAATGATATGGAGTTAATTTCTCATTAATTGAGTTGTTGTTACTGTGTTTTTTTGTTTTGCTGAGTTTGTTTATTTCTCCTTCGTAATAACACTAATGGTAATAATGATCGTTATTATTATTCACTTGTAATTTTGCCAACAAATGAATTAGTGGAAATGGTCTGTGGATATTCTACTTAAAGACGTTGGTTAATTAATATATTTTAAATTAACATTTACGCTGTATTGTGTATGTCTTTCACTTATTGCGCAAGCTCGTTGTTTAAAATATAAATTTTGATGTAAATGTTCTGAGGATAATCTAAATAAACAGTTGTTCATCGGATTATTTGTGTATTTCACCTTGTTAACCAAATTTTACTCGAGAAGTAATACTGTTATTCGCAGACGTATAATTAGTATGGCTGGTTTAATTGTAATGTCCAGTTTATCAGTTTTTTGTATTTAGACAAATTAGATTGCTCTTTTGAGTATTGACCTATGAAAACGAACTCCCAGTACTTTGATACAACAGATGCTGATTTCCATGTACAAATCCACAATTTATCACAAATAAGATATATACCACGGTATATTATAATTCATTCAAAATCATATTAACACATGCTGTATGATGACTTTCTTTTACCAAATAGTATATCGACATCTAAATGAGCATAATATGGACTTTGAGTATTGATTGTTTTTGTATGGAAACTGAACATCAGATTGTCAACTGTTTCATTTAAAAAATAATTTGTTTGAAAAGAACACTCAATCTTCTATTCTTAATTTAAAGCAAGTATCTCCTTTTATATATTTCGACAAAATAACTCCGTCTTCTCATTGTTCTATCGGAATTCTTAATTCGCTCTCCATTATTCATAATTTCAGTAGACTAATTTTTATTAGAAAAATGAATAAAATAACTGGTGTTATAGTCTTTTCAGATATTTAGATCACATTATAATTAATAGATTAACTTGCGATAATATAAAATGTTTGAATTTCATTAAATGAAATGGTTTATTACATAAACCACTGTAAAACCACTAAAATTAATTATTAATTCGTTAAAATATTTCTAGATAAGTTGTCGTCGCCAAATGTCTACGGGCATTTTTCTGGGTTTATAGAGTAACTAGTGAAAAAAATAACTACATCCTTTTATAAATCTTTAAATATTTTGAATTGATGTACGAAATTGACGCTTAAACATTTTTACCCAGTCACATGTCTTAAGTAATACATTTTCAAAACATATTTTACGTATAACATAATTCGAATTAATTACAAATGTCTAGTACAACATTTTTACCGTTCAATTGCTAGAAAACTGACTGAACAATTTAATTATTTTGCAATAGTGTTTTATTCAATCGGTCTTTTAATATCAATTTCACTTGTGCATAGTAAACATAGATCAGTCAGTCAGCTACAACGTAGGACCAGGCACATATATGCATCGGTCCAAGTTGCCATACCTCATTAACACAATTAGATGAACACCGGATTCATTAAAGTAGTTAATTCAGAGGTGGTAATATATAAAAGAAAGATTGCAATAAGAATATAGTACAAGAAGAAAGAATTAATTCGTAGAAAGAAAGATATGAAGCAATTTTAATCTCTTAGTTTAAGGGAAGACAGAGTGTATACACCGACGCCATTGTGATCGATTCTGAGCCTCTAACCATTGGTTACGATAGTCACGCGGACCCCAACCAAGTAGTCTGCATCTACCAACATGGGTAAGACTAGAAGTTAGTGACTTCAAGCACTGATGCCACGTTTTGTTTTGGCCGCCCCTAACTTCCTTCCAACCATCCCCAACACCAGTTAGCATTGCGCGTCGTGATAATCGCTATTCGCTCCTGACCGAAACTGCAACCTTGACGCGGTGGTCGGGTTTACCTATCGTGATGACCCAACCGAGCTATATTGGCTGGAACATATGTTCCTGTAGGTTCTACCATGCCAGGCAGGTCGATTGGAGAACGGTAAGACTAAAAGCAGCAACTCAAGGTCTGAGGGCGAAGTCGTACTGCTGACTGTAGAGAGGTGTGACAGCAGTAAGGTGTTTCCCTCGGACAACCAGCATGACAGCGATGCTGCCTTCCCACAAGGAGGGGTGGGGTTAGAAAAGGTCGACCCTAAAAATGTCACACCTCACCTTACCTCACGGATTTCCGTCTCCGGCGGTAAGGCCCTTTGAAGAACGGAGCTAACACGTCAAAAACCTTCCACAAAAAGGCCGTGCGCGACCGGCCTCAAGCAGTTGTCCCTTGGGCTCTGCGGTCACGCTCCCAGGTCGTCAAGACCAACACTAATCCAATTTCCTTTTCAGGTTCCTCAAGAAATACCCTTCCACGGTGTGGGCAGCCGGGAAGTGACATCAGCCCTCATACCCGTAACAGCACAAGAGACCAAGGTGGTCACATTCAAATCCTTCCTACACCTCCTAATACCTCTCTTATCTCCATGACTAACCCTCCTCACGTCTCTTTATCACCTCGCACCGCTAGGGCAAACGATTTGAGTACGTGGAACGCCATTCCTGGTCTCCTGAAACCACGCTCTAAACTACACGTAGGAGCTTTTAACGTACGAACACTTTGCCAAATAGGACAGCAGGCTTCCTTAGCTAAAACTTTAGAATCTCGCGCCATCGATGTGTGCTGCGTCTCCGAAACGCGCATACAGGATCCGAGTAGCGTCATTCATTTGACCTCACCATGCCAAAATAAAGAACCGACTCGATTTACGCTTCGTGTATCTGGAAGCCCTGATTCTGCTTCCCGTGGCCTCGCCGGCGTAGGTATAGCATTGAGTCCTAGGGCAGAACTAGCTCTCTTAGAGTGGATCCCAGTAGACAGTCGTTTGTGCGCTGTCCGACTGAACGGAACAGTAAGAATCCGGAAAGATAGGGACACTCGTCGTTGCCTCTTCGTCGTCTCTGCCTATTCTCCCACTGACTGCAGCTCAGATGATGTAAAAGATGAGTTTTACAGAAAGCTTCTCCGAAAAGCTAGGCGCTCGGATGTAGTAATAGTGGCCGGTGACTTTAATGCTCAAGTAGGTAAACTAAGCGATAGGGAAAGACACCTAGGTGGATCTTATGGTGTCGTGGCTCAAAGAACAGATAATGGCGACCGTCTGTTGCAGCTATGCTCAGATAACCGCCTGTTCCTTGCAAATACTAACTTTAAGCATAAGGAAAAACATCTTTTAACATGGCGACCCCCTAATTCGTCCCAACGTTGGACCCAAATAGATCACATCGCTATCAGCCACCGATGGAGGGGCTCGATAGAAGACTGTCGCTCATTCTGGAGCACATGCCTAGATTCAGATCATGCTCTAGTGCGAGCGCGTATTTGCTTGCGTCTTACTGGACGTAGGAAAGACGCTGCAAGGAAACCTCTTAGGGCCTACTTAATGATAGTCAAGCTAAGAGTATATTTCAGGAACAACTAGGAAAACAGTTAGGCAGCCATGTATGTGATGCCCACCCCGATGCAGCATGGAATGATATCCGAAAAGCTGTGGAAACAGCAGTGATATCTGCTAGTAAGGTAAACCAGAAGGTTAGGGAGCAACACTGGATCTCAGCAGCATCTATCGCACTGATAGATGCTCGGAAACTCATTCCACCTGGCTCTGAACATAATGAAGAGCGGAGTCAGCTTAAGCGCAAGCTGACAAGAAGTCTACGCAATGATCGCGAACAGTGGTGGGTAGCGAAAGCAAGAGAGATGGAAAAGGCAGCGGCAATAGGTAATAGCAGACAATTGTTCAGACTCGTTAAGGAAACCGGAATTAGGAACCCGACCGTTAGCGAAACAATCTCAGAGAAAGATGGACATATTATTCATTCTCAATCCAGGAGATTGGATCGATGGGCAGAACACTTTAGGGATCAGTTCAACTGGCCTTCAGCCACACTTCGGTTTCCCACGATCTCCAGTCAACCTGAATGGCAAGTTAATGTAGGTCCTCCGTCCCTTTACGAAGTTGAAAAAGCCATAGGAAATCTGAAACGAGGGAGAGCAGCAGGCCCTGACAGGTTTACTCCTGAGATTTTTAAGGATGGTGGTCCAGTATTAGCAATGAGATTAACTGAGGTCTTAGGTAGAATTTGGGAACTGGACGTAATCCCATCTGACTGGTCTCAATCACTGATTGTGCCAGTCTATAAGAAAGGACAAAAGTCCTCTTGTGACAATCACAGAGGAATCAGTTTGACTAATATAGTGTCTAAAATATTAGCTTCAATAATACTTCGACGCCTAATCAAAGCTCGTGAAGAGCAGACTAGAGAAAACCAGGCTGGTTTTCGACCTGGACGTGGTTGTATAGATCAGATATTCACACTACGTCAGGTTCTAGAACACAGACACACATTCAGACGCCCCACAATGGTAGTATTTCTCGACCTTAAGGCGGCATTCGACTCTGTTGATCGTGAGGTTCTATGGCAGTGTTTGTCACTGAAAGGAGTACCAAAGAAGTACATTAACCTTATAAAGGCTCTCTACTCGAACACAACTGGTAGAGTGAGAGCTTATGGCGAACTGTCATCAGAATTGATTACCTCAAGTGGTGTTCGTCAGGGCTGTCCACTCTCCCCATTCTTGTTCAACTTTGTGGTCGACGTACTTTTAGAGATAACACTCTCCTCATCTAAATTTCCAGGGGTTGAACTTCTACCGGGAGGTTCACTTGTTGACTTAGAATATGCTGATGACATAGTTTTATTTGGTGAAGACGCTGACAAAATGCAGAGTCTTCTGACCACTCTAAGCAACAATGCAAGCATGTTCGGGATGCGATTCTCTCCCTCGAAATGCAAAATGTTGCTTCAGGATTGGGTTACATCGACACCCGAACTAGTGATAGGGAGTGAAGTAGTTGAGTGTGTCGACCGCTTCACTTATCTTGGAAGTCTCATCAGCCCTTGTGGTTGGTGTGTGACGAAATCTCAGCACGGATACAGAAGGCTCGACTAGCTTTTGCCAACTTGCGTCATTTATGGCGTAGGCGAGATATCCGTCTATCAACCAAAGGACGGGTTTACTGCGCAGCAGTTCGTTCCGTCCTACTTTATGGCAGTGAAACATGGCCGGTAAGAGTAGAGGATATTCGTAGGTTACTAGTATTTGATCATAGGTGTCTTCGAAACATTGCTCGTATATCATGGGACCATCGAGTAAGTAACGCAGTTGTTAGGAAACGGGTACTAGGTAAGGATGGCAAATCAATTGATGAAGTAGTGAAACTTCATCAGTTGAGATGGCTGGGACACGTGTTACGTATGCCCAACGACCGACTGCCTCGACGTGCTATGTTCAGTGGTATAGGAGTAGGTTGGAAGAAAGCTAGGGGCGGCCAGACCAAAACATGGCACAAGTCCATGAAGTCACTGACAAGTGGACTGAGTCATGTTGGTAGGTGTATACTACCTGGTTGGGGACCGCGAGATGATAGCAACCGATGGTTAGAGACCCTGAATGACATGGCTCAAAATCGTTTGCAATGGCGCAGTTGTATACACTCTTTGTGTTCTCACAAACCCTAATCTTCTGAATTCTTCATGTCCCTTTTTTTCCTCTTTCCAAATTTATTTCACTGGATTATACTCTTTAAATAACATCTCCAAACACTAATCTTCCCGATTACTGCTTATACTCTTATTACCTCTACCACTACGGGATTTGAATCGACCACTGCATCTCTGTGCTAATGTGGTGCGACAACTCGAACTGATGTACGTACGTACGGAGTTCTACGTTGTTACTGACTGACTGACTGAATCGGTGTTCGGGCATACGTAACACGTGGCACGATGAGTGGACCTCCTGGATGGAGATCAATACCCGAGAATTCAGTAGACGAGAA